ATTTACATTAAAGTCTTAATTTTAATGCAGATCTTATAGTCTTTAAGGTAATTCCAAAATATTTATGTCTCATATTTTGCCTCTGGTAGGGTTTTTTTTGGGTTTGTTTGTTTGCTTTTTGTTTTTGGTCGGTCGTGGGGCTTGAACTCTAGGCCTGGGTACTGTCCCTGATCTCTTCAGCTCATGGCTAGCGCTCTACCACTTAAGCCACAGCGTCACTTCTGATTTTCTGGTGGTTTATTGGAGATAAGAGTCTCACAGACTTTGTTGTCCAGGCTGGCTTTGAGCCGGGATCCTCAGATCTGAGCCTCCTGAGTAACTAGGATTACAGGTATGAGCCACCAGCACCTGGCTGTCTCTGGTAGTTTTAATAGCAACAATAAGGTTAGTAATTGGATTTTGCATGCAAAAGAAATACATTTTAATTAATTCATATAGACACATACACTCATTTGCAGTGAGAATATAAGTGAATTTTTTTGTATAAATTTAGTGGGGCAATTGAGTTAAATATGCTGTAATATACAGCCAATGAGGAGGAGTATTCTGAACAGAATTGATAAAATAGGCTTGACAAAGTATTTCTGTTGCATAGTGCTGAAATGTGGATTCTACTTGGTATAAACCAAAGACAATGCCTTTCTTTATGTATCAAGAAACAAAATAGTTGAGCAAAGCATTTGTAGTTCAGAAAACATTTGCTGAATACTGGTTATATTCAAGCTGTGTAAGGTGTTAGATAATAATAGAAACAGTTTTAAAATCAGAACTGTGCAGTGTAGTGGTTTGTTTGGGCACTTATATTTTTGTCATCATTTTGGCAGAAGGAATACTACATGAAGATACCTTCAGAAGATACCTAAATACTCCTTGTTTTGCAAGTTACATGTTTTAGTTGAAAAGACTAGGATTGTAGTACAGTTTGAAAAGGGGCTGTGTGTAGAGGCCACATATTATGTGATTCCATTTATATGAAATGTCCAGCTAGGTAAAGATATAGAGACTCGAGGTAAGTGAGTAGTTGCCAGGAAGGGAACAAGAGGACTGGTTACTGAGGAGTAATAGGGAATGATTAATATTGGCATCAGTTTTTTATATATATGGAAAAAACTAGTAGGGGATTAAGTCTTGGTTTTATCTTCTGTTTGGTGACAGTATCTACACTTAAACGATTTCCACAAGTCTCAAAATTATGGAAAAATATTTTTAGAGCGTAGTTGAGAAAAAGACAGTTTACAAAAGTTTAATTGTATTTACAAGTGGGAGATATTTTACAGATTTTTAGTTTTAGGAACACAATGTGTGGAATCTAGTTTGTTATTTATTTAAATATAATTTTATTATTATTAAAGTGTTGTACAGAGGTGTTAACATTTCATAAGTAATGAGTATATTTCTTTTTTTTTTTGATCTAATCTAGTTTTTTTTTTTTTTTTTTAGTGGAGGGTGGGTGGAGGTGGGTTCCTGGGGCTTGAACTCAGGGTCTGGATGCTGTCCCTGAGCTTTTTTTTGGTCAAGGTTAGCACTCTTATGAGTTTAAGCCACAACTCCACTTCCAGTTTTCTGATGGTTAATTGGAGGTAAAAGTCTCAAGACTTTTCCTACCATTGTTGGCTTCAAACTGAGATCTCACCTTATGAGATCTGAGGATTACAGGTATGAGCCACCAGTCCAATCCTGATCTTTTAAATCACATTTTTCCATATGATTCAACATGATTTATTCAGAAAAAACCCCAAAATTTTAGTTGAATTTGTTAATGCTAGAACTACTTGGAAATGTATATTAAATTTGGTAGTGATTGGAAATTTACACTTTTTCCTCAACATTGTACAAATATCCCATATGTTACTCACCATTTGGTTGAGGAAACAAAATCTAATTAAGTTATTGCTATGAGTATAAACATGAACTAACTCCATATAAATCTAATTGCATTGTTTGCCTAGATGTAATTATAATGAAGCTTGGGATCCTAAGTTAGATAATTCTATGACAAAGTATCAAATTAGGGGAATGTCTGGAAGATTAAATTTGAAGCAACCTGTAATATTTATTATACTAATATATGTTTCAGTGATGATTGACATAACCTATGGTATTCTAATATATGAAACATTCAAAGTCACAGAACAACGAGGGAGGTGGGCTTCTCTTTTCTACCTGCAGAACCCTCCTAGTTACTCAGGAGGCTGAGATCTGAGGATCGCGGTTCAAAGCCAGCCCGGGCAGGAAAGTCCATGAAACTCTTACCTCCAATAAACTATCAGAAAACCGGAAGTGACGCTGTAGCCCAAGTGGTAGAGTGCTCGCCTTGAGCTGAAGAGCTGAGGGACAGCGCCCAGGCCTAGAGTTCAAGCCCTATGACTGACAAACAAAGAAACAAAAAACTTTGAATTTGCTTTACTTTTTACTTTCTGAGCAAAGGAAATCATTACTTGTTTTACATACTTACTAGAATACATGAACAGGCCTGTATTTTTCTATTTTAAGACCTGTTTGAATATCTAGTATATGCATATCAGCCTTAGCTTGTAAGGTCAGTAACATAATCTTGAACTGAGAAATATGTATCTTATCCACTTATATCCACATGCATTTGCTTTTGTGCATTAAAATTGTGAGTATTGCTTGTCCAAAGTGAATAGTTGGAGGAAAAATTCTATGTGAGACATGAGTGCTGTATAGAGTTCCTATCTCTGCTGACTCTTCCAAGAAGTGTTTTTACATGAAAATAGTGGTTTTCAGTTCTTGCTATTTTTTCAAGCACATTTGTTATGTGGAAGATCTTTAACTGAACCTTTGCCTTGCTCAGAGCTCATGTTATTTTTAATTATTTAGGTTTGTGAGCAGTATCTTTTACTATATAAGACATAGAGGTGTAGCACTTTCTAGTCTCTGTAGGAGTTCTTCTTGCTCATGGTTGTACTGCTGGAGATCACAGTTTGTGGTTCCCTTGAGGACAACATCAAAGAACGCAACAACAGCTGTATCAACAAGATGTTCCTGTCCATTATTGTGATTTAAAAACTACTTTGGGGTTTGGGCATTTTTTTTTGCCCTCTCCTTTCCCTCCCCCTCCTCCCCCCCCCCCCCCCCCCACAGCTTTGTTGTCTGGAATAGTAAGGGATTTGGCAAAGTTAACTTTAAAAAGAATGTAAAGTTTTTGTACTGAAAAGTGGAAAAATTCTAGTTTACTTGTTTGTTATTTTTAGTTCTTCATTTCAGTCAAACTCTTGACCATTTGAAATAAGTGATGAGATGCTAGTGAATTTTTTTCAGCTACAAACTGATCTTCAAATTCTGGCAGGATGTCTTATGTGTTTTTGGAAAAAGCCCAAATCTTTATCAACTATAGGTCTGCAGCTGAGGAATAGACTTCAAATATCTTTCCCTCCATTTTCCTTTCAGTATTTTGTGATCATATAGCAAAAGATCAAAATGTTTCTCTTTTTCTTGTTAGCATATATTATTTGTACAAAAGAGGTTCCTTGTGATACCTCCATACTTTTGTATAATGTACTTTGATCAAATTCACACTATTACTCTTTCTTACTCCTCTTCCCTCTCCTTTTTAGGTAATTTTTTTTTTGTTGTTTGCCCAACCCCCAACCCCTATTCCTTGCTTCATAGCATATTTTTATAGCAATTTTTTATTGTGATTGATTACATAAGTTTCACAAATTTCACAGTATTGTGGGATAGTGATACTTAAAGTCATAAACACATTCTAACCTTCATGGGGCAAATTGTCTTTTTTTTTTTTTTTTTTGTCGGTCATGGGGCTTGAACTCTGGGCTTGGGTGCTGTCCCTCAGCTCTTCAGCTCAAGGCTAGCGCTCTACCACTTGAACCACATTGCCACTTCCAGTTTTTCTGGTGGTTTATTGGAGATAAGAGTCTCAGGGACTTTCCTGCCCAGGCTGGCTTTGAACCGTGATCATCACATCTTAGCCTCCTGAATAGCTAGGATTACAGGCATGATCCACCGGTGTCTGGTGGGGGCAAATTGTCTTTATCCTGGTCTATAAAGTTTATGAGTTCTGTGAACTTTGACAATACAGTTAGATAATTTTTAAATGTTTTATTTTGTCTTCATGCATGTATATGAAGATCTTTGACAATATTTACCTTTTCACTTTCCTTCCTTCACTGGTTCTCAACCCCAAACATTTTACATGTGTCATTTTCTTCCTCAGTCTGGATATGAGATGAACATACGTATTTGTCTTTCTAACTCTAGCTTATTTCACTTACAGTTCTATCCATTAGAATAATTCTATTCTTCTATATGTCTAGATAATACTCCATTATGTATATATATGACATATGCATTATTTCTGAATTGATAGATACCTTGGCTGACCATACAGCGTGGCTATTTTGATTCATGCTGTAATAAACATGATTGTGCAGATATCTGTCTTGTTCGTTGACTTATACTCCTTCAGATGTATAGTGAAGATTGGTATACTGGGATCATATGGCATGTTGTTCTGGTCTTAGTTTTTTAATTTAATTTAATTTTTATTTATTTTTTATTGTGAAAATACTGTATAGAGGGGTTACAATTACATGGGCAAGGTAATGAGTACATTTCTTATCAAGCATTGTAGCCTCCTCCTTTGTTTCCCCTTCGAGGACCCTCCATACCGATTTTCACAGTGGCTATGCTAATTTACATTTCTACCAACAATATACAGTATAAGGGTTACTTTTTCTCCAACATCCTCATCAACATTGGTTGATTTTACTAATGATGGAATCTCGTGTGCATATCCTTTATGGCTAAGAATGTTGAACATTTCTTCATGTATTTATTGACTATGTGCTTGTTTGTAGATCTGTCCAATTTAATTTCCATTTACACTAATTGGTATGCCTTGACATTACATTTTGATTGCCAAGACCTTTTTATCTTAGACATAACCTTTCATAGGCCATGCCTACCAATGAATCTTGAGTAAGAACTGTGAAGTAAAAGGACCTGTTTTTGTTTAGGGAAAAGGATCTTGAAGAAGCTTTGGAAGCAGGAGGTTGTGATCTTGAAACTTTGAGAAATATAATTCAAGGGCGACCACTGCCTGCTGACCTGAGGGCCAAAGTTTGGAAGGTAACTACAAACTAAAATGAGAAAAGTCTAACCACTTAGTATTTTTCAAAATTTATTTTCAGCTCTCTGAAAAGCCTTTACTATTTTGTGAGCATACCATATTCAGAAAATTGGTTAATACTTTATTAACATGTGTGTCTCTGTAGTGTATTTCATAATGGTTTGGGTTTTAATTTCTCTTTTTTTTCCTCTCTCATATTGGGGTTTGAACTCTGGGCTTCATGTTGTTCTGCTTGCTGGGCTGGTGCATTACCACTTGTGCCACACCTCCAGTCTATGGTGTGGATTTTGGAGAATGCTTTCTGTTTGTGGCCATGAGCAATAATGTTAATGAGGACAGTTCATTGAAATGGATAAACATAACTAGTGAGTAAAATAAAGAATATAATATCTCATATAGAATGATCTAAGCTTTTTTTTTTTGCCAGTCCTGGGGCTAGAACCAGGGCCTGCGTACTATCCTTAACTTTTTTTTTTCCATCAAGGCTAACTCTCTTGCATTTGTTTCATACCTCTACTTCTGGCTTTTTGGTGGCTAATTGGAGATAAGAGTCTCATGGACCTTTCTGCCCAAGCTGGCTTTGAACCATGATCTTCACATCTCACACTCTGAAGTAGGAATACAGGCATGAGCCTCTAGTGCTCCACTCTAAAGACTTTTAAAGTAATCAAAGACCATTGAACAACTAAAGAATAGTAATCTCTTAGAATTACAATAATTTATTCAGCTATTTTATGTACCTATTTTACATGAAATTTGATTATTTCAATTTTTTTTTTTTTTTTTGGTGGGACTTGAACTCTGAGCCTGGGTGCTGTCCCTGAACTCTTCACTCAAGGCGAGTACTCTACCATTTGAGCCACAGTGACACTTCCAGTTTTCCGGTCGTTAATTGGAGATAAGAATCTCATGGACTTTCCTGCCTAGGCTAGCTTTGAACCTCGACCCTCAGATCTCAGCCTCTTGAGTAGCTAGGATTACAGGTGTGGGCCACCATCGCCTGACTTAGATACTTTGCAATTGACTAGACTTTTTTTTTTTTTTTTGCCAATCCTGGGGCTTGAACTCAGGCCTGGGTGCTGTCCTTGAGCTGCTTTTGTTCAAGGCTACCACTCTACCACTTGAGCCACAGTGCTACTTGTGGCTTTTTCTGTTTATGTGGTACTGAGTAATCGAACCCAGGGCCTCATGCATGCGAGGCAAGCACTCTCTACCACTGAGCCACCTTCTCTGCTGGGAAGGACCTACTTTTTGAATTTGGTTAATACATCATTTTAATATTTTGATCAATACATTGCTCTGGTACATTCTTTAAAAATCTTATAAAAACATTTACTCAATTCATCAAATATTTATATTTTATTATATGACACAGATATAATCTTTGTGAGTATTACATTCTTTGTAGAAGAGTGCTTGAATAGTTGTGTGTGTATAACTATAATAAAGATTCAATGTAATTCTTTTCACTAAATCAATATGAAATAGTCAGATTTAACAGAGGAGAATTTAAAATAACCCTTTTGGTTCATAGTAATGTCACCAAGAGTTCAGCATTTGGTGGAGTACAGATACTTTGTAATCTTGGTTGTTATTCCTGAATAAAGTTATTACAGCGTATTTTCCCAGAATGAGAAATACCATATGAATCTGTTGCTTTTTAAATCTTTCTTCCAGATTGCTCTGAATGTTGCGGGAAAAGGTGATAGCTTGGCATCATGGGATGGTATTTTAGACTTGCCAGAACAGAACATTATTCATAAAGATTGCCTAGAATTTATAGGTAAGTTTAAGAATGGTTTTCTTTTTATAATTTGAGGTACATTGAATTTCTTAAGGGCTTATAAACAGTTTTATATGTCTTTTAAAGTTCCTATGAAACTATAGGAGCCTAATTTTTACTATTTCTTTGATACATGTATTGATTTTTTTATATACATTTGTCATTTTGCTGTGAACTATGGCTTTGTACATGCTAGGCAAGGGCTATACCACTGAATTGTATTTCCTGGCTTACATGTGTAGTTTTATCACATTTTAAAACCTATTTTTGGAATTAGAGATATGTATGATGATCTACAATGTTCAAGTTAAAGGGGCTATGTTCTAAAAGTTTATATATTATAGATTATGATTTATTGTAGAAAAACACAAATTATGAATGAATTGGTTTCTAATCACTGTAAAAACATAATACAAATTGTTTATACTTCACTTCTCTTTTTCATTTATCTTTCCATTGGACATCTTTTAACTTTCACATTTTAGTTAACTTATAGGTTAAATAGGTATATATACTATATATGTATATATTATATATAAATAGGCATTTGTATATGCCTATATAACCAACATGTGTCTGCATATAGGTACATGTATATGCATATATGCGAAACTATGGCTGTGATGTAAGTTAGTGGTAGTATGTTTCTCCAGCTTGCACAAGGCCCAGGGTTTCATTCTCAGCAAAACACAACACACACACACACACACACACACACACACACAGGGAAAAATGCTTTTGTGTAGTTTACTTTGTCATGATCTAAATGCACTCATACTGTATATTTGTAAGCAAATGGTATGTTCAATCACTAAACCTCTAATTGATCCTTGATGACTTTTTGTTGTTGTTGTTGGTTGTGGGGCTTGAACTCTGGGCCTGGGCACTGTACCTTAGCTCTTCAGCTCAAGGCTAGCGCTCTACCACTTGAGCCACAGTGCCACTGCTGGTTTTCTAGTGGTTTATTTGAGATAAGAGTCTCACAGATTTTCCTTCCTAGGCTGGCTTTGAACCTGATCCTCACATCTCAGCCTTCTGAGTAGCTAGGATTACAGGCGTGAGCCACTGGTACTTGGCTGATAACTTTATTTTGATGCTTATTTTCCAGACCATCTTTCAGTGCCAGAGGAAAAGGCATCAGAGTTACTTCTGGATATTGAATCTGTGATTACTTTTTATTGTAAATCACGCAACACTAAATATAGTACATCCCTTAGCTGGATACATCTACTGAAACCACTGGTGCATCTTCAGCTGCCACGGAGTGATTTATACAACTGCTTTTATGCTATCATGAATAAGTACATTCCCAGGTAAAATATGATTAGTTACGATTTCAGAAGTAAATAATGGTCTGGTGAATAATGGACTAAAATGGGTAGGTTTACTTTGATGGTAAGGTAAAAAAATTAATGTAATTTTTAAGGTTGAATCATAATTGTTATTTGACTTGATTTTAGTTAATAATTTCTACTTCTAGAGTTGTTATATGTAACATAACTCGAGGTTTATTTGGTGCTCTCTCTATATTTTAGTATCTTTCCCTAAAAAATAGTATTACAGTATCTATGTAAAAAAATAATATTTTGGGGGTACCTCTTATGTGACATGCTGGGATTACAGTTAGGAACATTTCACAGAGATAAAAGTATTAAGCAAACTGAGTCTTAGGAAGGTAAAATACAGAGTGATACGGGAGTGTATGATGGGAGAGAGGGCTAATCATTTGGAATCAGAGCCACCTTTCCTAGGCAAACCAGAAAAACGTTGGTAGTTGTAGTCATACTAGTTTGGGGGTACTCAAGAGGTCAGAAAAAAATTGTAGTTCTTAGAGCTGGCGATCAGAATTTTTGAGCCGAAAGAAACCTTAAACATAATCTAGACTATTGGCTTCACTGTAGATCTTGGATGCACACTAGGGTAATGGTGGAACTCTTAATCCTACTATTTTCATACCTACTTAATTAAATCAAAATCTCTCAGTTATGGTGATGGGACTAATGCATCAGTATTTGATTAGATTTTCCCAATCGGTTCTAGTGTTCTGTAGACGTGGACTATGGCTCTGGACTTGGATAGTTAACTGATTTCCAGTTTTTCTATGGCTTTTTGTGTGTAACATATTATTCTAGGCGTGAATGTTTTATTTATTTTCTGATTTAAACAGTGACTACTATAAGGTGTGTGTCTGATTTATAATTACATAAGGACAGCGCCCAAGCCCAGAGTTCAAGCCCCACCACTGACAAAAAAAAAAAAGAATATAGTTACATAAAATGGAGTATATAACACATTTTATTATTATTTGATGGGCATTTGGGTTGTTTTCATTTGGGGCTATTATGAATATCTTGCTATGAATGATTGTATACAAGTTTTGTGGGGGTGTGTTTGTACTTCTGGGATATGTGCATAGGAATGGCTATGTATAAAATATAACAATAATTTCTACTTACCCATTTTTTAATAATGTTGAAGCTGTGATTTTCATCTTTTTTTTTTTTTTTTTGTAATCTGGGGTTTTAATTTAGGGCCTTAGTCTCTCATTCTCTTACTTGGCTTGCTTGTTCATCTTGTGCTTTGCCACTTGAACACAGCCCTTTAATGTTTACATGAAACTTTTTTTCTTGTTTTATTTTCTTTATGTAGCCTTTTTTGAAGGGGGGAACAGTACTGGGGATTGAACTCAGGGCCTTGAGCTTGTTAGACAAGTATCATACCACTTGAGCTATATCCTAGTCCTTTAGCCAAAATACCTATTGCTGAAATACCAAATTTTATATATGGAAGGGAGTCAGTATGGCTTAATGATTCAATGCCTATTTTTTAATTTGTTTTTATCCCCTTTTTAATTGCTGTTGTAAAGGTGATATATAGAGGGATTACAGTTCCATAAGTCAGGTAAAGAGCACATTTATTTTTTGACAATGTCCCCCCTTCCCTTGTTCTCACAGTTTTCCCACCCACAGTTACGTAGTTCATTTTCAGCATAGTGTCTAGTGAGTAAATACCAATGTTGCATCAATGCCCATGTTTTGTATATACATTTTAGGTCCATCACTTCCCCCTCTCCCCCTCTGGTTACGGGGCTCAAACTAGGCCTGGGCACTGTCCCTGAGCTCCCTTTTGCACTCTGCCACTTGAGCCACAGTGCCACTTCTAGTTTTTCAGTGATTAATTGGAGATAAAGAGTATTACAGACTGTCTTATGGGGCCTGACTTTGAACTGCCATCCTCAGATCTCAGCCTCATGAGTATCTAGGATTATAGGTGTGACCCTCTGTCACCCAGCCTGGTCTATTAATGCTTAGCAATGTAAATTACCTAATCTCAATTGTACTTTAGTTTTCACCTATAACTTGAGTTGTTTGTAAAGATGAGATGAACTAACTTGGTAAAATGCTTGTCACAGTGTCTGGCACATGACATTTCCTCAATAAATATCGGCTTTTATTATGATGACTTATGCTTTACCCTGTTAGGTATTTTTGCTATTTCATTATATGACATTCTTGCTTCATTCCTTTGTGACTGGTAAAATGCATCTCACTACAAAAGCTAAATGGAGTAGTTGATAGCAGAGTCTGATGAATTAGCAAAGCATGTTGTCCAAATGAAGACTGAATCATCATTTTGTTCACAGCAATACATACTTTAACCCAACTTCTGAAATATCTTGTATTTTTAACAGAGTAGTTAAAAAGTACTGCCGTTCTTATATTAAGATTTTTTAAAAACATTTTTAATTATTATTATCTTTAAGTAGTACAAAAAAGTCCCCATTCTATAAAACAGCACATGAATATAAGGTGTCTGACAACATTGTCACCCATCATTCCTAATGCATACTTTTGCTCACTTTTTAAAAAAAATTGAGATTAGTTGATTACATAAATGTCATACATTTCACAGTATTGTGGAATAGTGATACTTAGTTAAAGTTACAAACACATTTTAACCTTCACAAGGCAAATTGTCATCATGGTCTATACAGTTTATGAATTCTATGAGCTTTGACAATACAAATTATGTCTTCCACATCAGGTGATGTTTACATTTCTTTCCTTTTGCTTAGTGTAGGCTGTTCCCTCTTTCCCTTTCATTCCTCTCTTCCCATCACTGTCTTTGGGTTGCTTAGTTCTTTTTCTTCTATGTCCAGTGCAGCTGATGGGCCCCTTTGTTGTATGTTGTTCCATTTCCCATTTATTCTGTCCTCTTCCTGGCTTTCCTCCATTGAGTACGCATATCTATCATATATATGGTCAAGAAGATGGAGTCATTTAGTACTAACACAACAAAATGAGTAGTTGTTCTATATTTCTTAAGTCCTGTTTACTTTGTCATATCTTCTTGGATTTTGGCTTGAGCATCCACACATATCAGGGAGACCATATTTGTCTCTTTGTTCTTGGCTTACCTCACTCAAAATAATTCACTCTAGTTCTATCCATTTCCCTGAAATGCCATGTTTTATCTTTTCTAATGGCTGCATAATATTCCATTGTATATGCCGCGGACCGGGTTCTGTCGGGACGACTTCTGTCGGGACGACGGAGGATACCTAGGGGAGGAACCTGGAATAGGATGGGGAGATGGCAAACAGACAACTCACACACATTAGGAGTGGATGCTGAGTGCTGAGTGCTGAGTGCGATTTAATGCAGAGGATAACAAACTTTTATAACAGAAGTCTTCATAAGAAAGGGACAAAAGGTTACACAATCTTGCTGCAAAGCTTCGTTCTTGGATGATCACCAGCTGGTCGCCTGAAAGGGCAAAAGTTTACACAATCTTGCTGCAGGGCTTCATTCTTAGGTGGTCACCAGCTGGTCGCCTGAAAGGCACTTGTTTCCGGCTTATCTCTAAGAAATATAATGGGTTTCGAAGTTTGTCACCAACTAACCATTACCTTATTTCTTTAGAGGCCTTAATTATCCCATAATATTTTTCCTGTTCCTTCTTTAATAGTAAGGTCACGGAGGCCTAGATCTAGCAAGTCTCAGTAAATGAGAGTACCAGGAAGTTCTTTCTCCTAAGTAGTTATCTCAGCAATTGCCATACATTCCTTCTGTTCTAGCCGCGCCTACAGCTTCTTGTAAATTTCTTACAATTCCTTCTGCTGGAGTGACTTTGTGAAACCCCCAATACTTTTATATTTGCTTATAACTTGTCTACTAGCCTTCATAAGAGGGGTTGCAGGGTAGCACTTAACTCTGGTGAGTTAGTCATATTTTTGAGACATTCATCAGATATTGGAGTCGTCAACACTCTTAAGAAAGAGCTTTGAATAAGGGAACGTTGACAATGAGTAAGCACAATGAGCAGCAGAAACAGTAAAAGATTAATAGGCACTCTTATACAGTGAGGAAAAGAAAGGCAGAAACACATCTTTCCCAGGGGCTTGCCAGCCTTTTTCCAGGAGTAGGCCTCTTAGAAGCCCTATTCTCCAAGGTAGACTTCGGTGAAGTCCCAAAACTTGGAGATAGGTTTCTGTAAAGCCCCATTCTCTGAGGTAGACTTCGGTGAAGTCCCAGAACTCAGAGATAGGTCTCTGAAGCCCCTATCTTGGTTTGATAGATGGTTTCCCATGCTAAGCAGACTCCACTGGAGTCGGCATGGCAGTATATAGGTACATAATATTCCATTGTATATAGTTTTTTGGATCCACTCATCAGTAGTGGGGCATCTGGGTTGTTTCCAAATCTTGGCTATTGTGAACAGTGCTGCAATAAACATGGAGGTGCATGTGTCTTTGTATACTGCTTCCTGTTGTTCAGGGTAGATGCCTAGGAATGGTATGGCTCGGTTGTAGGGAGGTCTATATTTAGCTTTCTGAGGTACCTCCAGACTGCTTTCCAAAGTGGCTATATTAGTGTACATTCCCACCAGCAGTGTAGTAGGGTTCCTCTTTCTCCGCATCCCCTCCAGCATTTGTTGTTGGCTGAATTTAGGATGTAGGTCATTCTGACTGAAGTAAGGTGGTATCTCATTGTTGTTTTTATTTGCATTTCCTTTACAGCCAGGGATGATGAACATTTCCTCATGTGTTTCTTTGCCGTTTTTATCTCTTCTTCTGAGAAGTCTCTCTTTAGCTCCCTTGACCATTTCATGATTGGTTTGTTAGATTTGTGAGGGGTTAGTTTCATTTACATTAAGATTATATTACCTTTTGAGAGGTTCTTTTTCCATGCAGTTGAATTCTGTTTGGTTTTGAGGTATTAAAAATGTAAACACATGGGGCTGGGAGTTTAGCCCAGCGGAAGGGCGCCCGCCCGGCGCATGCAAAGCTCTGGGTTCGGTCCTCAGCCCTGGAAAAAAAAAAGCTACAAAAGACTAAAAATGTAAACACACTAAAACAAATTAATATGCATATGATGGCATCTAAGAAAGTTGCAGGATATAGAGGACTATAAGAATGCTGTGGATGTGGGAATTAGAAATAAGGCTTCTTTCCTTTTTTTTTTATTTGGTCCAAGACCAGGACTTAAACTTGGTACCTAATGCTTTTGTTCATTGGCTACCAACTGAGCCATGCCTCCAACTTGAGAAATAAGGTTGCTGAGTGGAAGTAGAGGCTGTATATAGGAAGGAGGAAGCAACTGTGCTTCCTGAAAAGTCAGTGTAGTGCATGGATGTGGTTTTGACCTGATCCAAGGGGTTGTCAATTGGGTACATGGGTATGGTGATGGTGACTTTCAGTTTAAGGTTGTGAGTGGCTACCATGTCCATGGGTGGAGGAACCTACTTAAAGCTGAACAGATACAAGAATGGACAGAGACTGCAGGGAATCCATAGCCCAGAATGTATCTCTATGCCTTTTATATAATCATTTCTACTATTAAAGTACTTTGTAGTAGAAGTTGTTTGGAACTTCCAAACATTTGTTTGGAAGAAGGTATTGTGATTAAAAAGGCAAAATATGTATTTAGTGTCTTTTACCTTAAGATAATATTTACATTTAACTTTTCCACTTGCACAACAATTCTTTGAAGTAGGACAACTATTCAATAAGTTGAGAATTTGGTACCTTCTGGAATTCACTCTGAGGACATATGGTACCTTGGCCACTTGGATAGTTTCTGAAATGTTCATCTGTGGTCATTCTGCCTTACACTTTTGCTTAAGGATATTCCAGGTTGAATATAAAAACTAGGACTAGCCTTCCCAGGAGTTTCCTTTTACTTGGCAGAAAAGAAGACAGGACCCTAACTTTATTGCCTTAAGCTAAGTGCTATTTTAGTCCTCTTAATTGAATACTGCCTGGGTTCACCAGGAGAGAATCTTTGAAAAGTCACTGTGCGCTTGCCAGATGTATTAAAAGGGATACCAAGAAAGCTCTGCCTGGTTATTCCAGATAGGTTTGTATGAATGCTTTGATGTTCTTAGGAGCGGGGGAGGGGGGGGGCGGGGGGAAGAAAGGAGGAAGAGAAAAGATGACTATTGTAGAGGGATTGATCAATGATACGATCAGTTTTAACCTGTTAATGAAAAAATTTATTTCTCTTGTCTTTTAGGGATTGTTCCCTGAAGGGGAGACCATTCCATCTTTTCCGATTACTCATCCAATACCACGAGCCAGAGCTTTGTTCTTTTCTTGATACAAAGAAAATTACTCCAGACTCCTATGCACTCAACTGGGTAATGAAGTGAAAGTAGGAGCACTTAATGAAAAATAGTTTATATAAAACTATTGTTAGGAAGTGCTATTTTTCAAGAAGAAGAAAAAAGTTATAAATTATAATTATTATTACTAAAAGGAAAGAAGAAAATTACTGACATTTAACATAGGGTTTTTTGCTCTTCACTTAGGTTTAGATTATGTGATAGGAGGGTTAACCTTCCTTTTTTTGCACACGAATAGAAATAGAACTTACATAATTAGAATCTATTGCTGCATCTTATATAATAATTATATACTTATATATTTGTTAAATGTAGCAATTAGTACCTATTTCTGCATATACATGCAGTATATTTAAATATCAGTTCAGTTTAAAACTTTTAAAAATTTGATGGTGTGCCAGGAACTGGTGGCTCACTCCTCTAATACTAGCTACTCAGGAGGCTGAGATCTGAGGATTACAGTTGAAAGCCAGCCTGGGCAGGAAAGTCCTTTAGACTCTTATCTCCAATAAATTACCAGAAAACCAGAAGTAGTGCTTTGGTCACGTGGTAGAGTGTTAGCCTTGAACTGAAGAGCTGAGGGACAGTGTCCAGGCCCAGAATTCAAGCCCCATCACTGAAAAAAAGATTGATGGTGTTATAAACTGGTAACCAATCTGAAAAAAAATTGTATTTCCAAATGGTTACTGTAAAACAATGTAAAATACAACTTAGTGGTCTTTCTCTATTTGTATTTTCATTAGGAAGTCTTATTCTGGGTTAGTAGTTCTCACTGGCACTTTAGAGTCAAATTAATAAAATGCCTATAAAACCTTAGCTTCTTTGAGCTACCATTCATATGCTACCATTAAATCTAGTTATGTTAAAGCAAAATATTATTTCTTTTGAGTATTTTAAGTAATAGAGGTCTCTCTGCCTAGAAGATGCCATTTCTATTACCAGAAGTCTGAAATAGTACTCTACTATTTCAGTAGATTTAACCTGAATTTTGAAACAACTGCTTTGCCTCTAGCTGCTCTGCCAGTTAATTCATTCTTAATACTGGTATCATGTTGATGAAAATAGAGTAGTTTCGATTGTTTTTTTAAATCATGAAATGAAACAAACTAATTTTTACACTTGAAGAACCCGTAATAGTGGCAATAAAATGGTGATGTGAGTTCAGCTGAGATTAAAGATGCATATTACTATTCTGTTTGTATTTAAACCTTTTAATTGGAATTTGTGATAGTAATTTTTCAAACAAGAGCAAAAAGAATCAGCAGCATTTTGGACAGTTAAAGTGACCCTTACATGGGCTGTTGAGTCTTAGACTTTTTCCTAGTACATGGTTCCTCACTAGCTTCAGAAATTTATTTCATCCCAGTCTATCATCTTGTCTGTGAAATAGGGAGAAAACGTCTACTTAGCAAGTGAGAATTAAAGATAATGAACAATGATATAACAATAATTTGGCACCAGGCATAAAGAATGAACTAAATATATGGATTCCCATTTGCTTTAGTCATTAAAGATATTATTGATATAATCCTCTAGATGGAGTTATTTCCAAACCTGATGAAAATTGTCTAATCAAAGTATTGAATTCATTCAATTTCAACACAATTAGGCTGTAGAGAAACTTAGATTGTAAAAAGTCTTTTATTTGCAAAACAAAACCAGAGAGCTGAAATCTATTGAAGAATAATAATTTTATCTCTTTCAAATGACTTAAAATGTAAATCAGTTTACACTTACACTGTCATTAAAATTTTACTGAGTGTTTGATCTTCACAAATACCTTGTAAATTTGAAAACTATGCTGTAAAAACTAAGTTGATTACACTAGCTACCCTTGGAGCTACATAATATACTTGTTACTGAGTTATGGCAGAGAAATGTATTGCATTGTTTAACATATTCCAGGTTAATTACCTCTCTTTTTACAACAGTGGTTGAAAATGAGTAGCAACACATACGCCCCCAAACTCCAGTAGCAACACATACGCCCCCAAACTCCTCTTCTGCTTTTAACAGTAGAAATGGCATCCTTAGAAAGGTTAAGTGAGATGCCTGATTGGCCCACTGTGCCATTTTGCCCTTAGATTTCAACACTGAAGTACATATTAAATATCCGGTACAGATAATTTGATGTAATATTACTTAATCATTTACTTTAATACTTGTAAGAGACAGGTCATCTCCAGTGGTTTATGTCTCTCATTTTATTTCCTGATTACAGCTTGGAAGTCTTTTTGCATATTACTGTTCCATTGAAGTCACTCAGGCAATATGGGATGGATATCTTCAACAAGCAGATCCATTTTTTATTTATTTTGTAATGTTAATTATTCTTGTTAATGCAAAGTAAGTATCAAGTTAGTTAGATTCTTTTTCTCACAGGTGCTCTATTAATATTTAACTCAATTGTTTAATTTCCTTTTACAGAGAATTTATTTTAGCACAAGAATCAGGTAGCAAAGAAGAAGTTATCCGTAAGTATTACTCAATATGGAGAAAATATTTCAGATCATCAGATCATTTAATGTCTCTAAAACTTAGTTTTCCAATCCATATGTTTAGAATATTAGCCTAGAAAATTTTTAAGTTCCATTTTACTTTATAATCTCTATGTTTAAGGTTTGATTCTTCTGAGTTCTCCCCATGCTGGCCCCATAAGGAGATAGCTACTTCTACTCATTATTGCCAGACACATTGTCCTGTCTGTACAATAATGTTTATCTTTCTATATTATTGTTTTCTTTTTCTTTCTTTCTTTCCTTCTTTCTTTCTTTTTCCCTCCCTCCCTCCCTCCCTCCCTCCCTGCCTGCCTGCCTGCCTGCCTGTCTGCTTTCTTTCTTTCTTTCTTTCTTTCCTTCCTTCCTTTCTTTCTTTCTTTCTTTTTCTTTCTTTCGTTGTGGGGCTTGAACTCGGCCTGGGCACTGTCTCCGCACTCTTCAGTTCAAGGCTAGTGTTCTACCACTTGAGCCATAGCACCACTTCCAGTTTTGTGGTGGTTCATTGGAGATAAGAGTCTCACGGACTTTTCTTGCCAGGGCTGCCTATGAACTGTGATACTCAGATCTCAGGATTATAGGCATGAGTCACCAGCACCTGACTACATGATTGTTTTCTACATTATTATTTTCTCCCACAAGATTCAAGTTCCCAGCTGGGCGCTGCTGGCTTACACCTGCAATCCTTGCTACTCAGGAGACTGAGATCTGAGGATTGCAGTTCAAAGCCAGCCCAAGCAGGGAAGTCTGTGAGATTCTTATCTCCAATAAACCACTCAGAAAACTGAAAGTGGCTCAGTGGCTCAAGTGGTAGAGCACTAGCCTTGAGCTGAAGAGCTGAGGGACAGTGTTCAGGCCCAGAGTTCAAGCCCCATGACCAACAAAAAAAAAAAAAGAAAAAAAAAGAGTTAAGTTCCCTAAGTCAAAAACTATTCTTACTCACTTGTAATGTTTATCTTTCTATATTTAAGTCAGAAACTACTCTTACTTACTATTCATTTCTAGGGACCTTGGTGTTTTTGTATGTTTGTTGGATACAGTCCTAGTTAAAGCTAGTTTTGATTCTCGGACACATCCTTTACTAGCAGTAAAGTATTAACAGTTTTAGCTCCTTTCAGAGTCTGTTTCTCCACAAGCAGCTTTGAAAGCATCATTGCTGAATTGAGGATGTTGCTCACTGGTAAAGCACTGGGCTAGCATGTGAGGTCCTCAATTTGATTCTTAGCACTACATATACAAAAACAAAAGATAAGATTCCATTTCTGTAGTATTACACTGCAGATATTTTACTTTTTAACAGATAGTATCAATTATAGTATTTTTCAAAGTTTGTTAAATATTGCCATATGTGTAATTTCAGAGTTCTTGGAAAACACTCCATCCAGTTTGCATCTGGAAGATATAGAAGACCTTTTCTCTTTGGCTCAATATTATTGCAGTAAAACACCAGCTTCCTTTAGGAAGGTAAGAACCACAAAATGATGAGTTGATTTGTAGTTCACATTTTGTGTACTGTTCTATTGTTTACTTTTGTATTCACTGTGGTTAAAATACTCTTTAATTATTCCATTTTTCTGTCTTTTTATGTGTTATATGTTTTTTCACTGTAAATTCTTTCCCTAGTTGGAAACAGATAGATAGAAAATGACAGTGAGAACCACTTTATCTTTGTTTTGCTTATTAGCTATTTCTGACCAAGCAAAAATTGACAGATATTTCTTAAATTAGTGTTTTGTTGCTTATCTCATGTTCAGTCTTGGATAACCTTTGTGATGCATTGCTGACCTATAAGCAACAACAACAAAGGGTTACTTAACCCTTAGAGACCTAGATTTTTTTTATAAAAGACATCAAATTAGAAGCCTGATTAGTGTGATTTTCTAGGAAATGACACTCTATGACATAGGGAAATGATGTACATTATTATTTATATAGTACAGGTTAGTTTGTGACCTCAGTAGCTGGTAAGAACATCCTTGTTGGACATGTGCCATAGTATTGTGTCAGTGTGTATGTCAGTGTCAGAGGCAAATAATGTTAACTTTCAAAAAACATAGATCCAGGAGAAAGAGTATGAGAAGAGAAATGGGGGAATAAATATGATCAAGCTCTGCATGTATGAAAATCATAATTTATGCTAAAAAAGAATCTAAATGAACAAAAACAGGACATTTACCTCAAAAATAATTTAAGTATTTGTTCCAAGGGAACAATTTGTTCTTGGAGTAATTTTAGCTATTTGAAATACTATTCTATTATAAATTACATTAGTTTTCACTATGGTCAGTCAGATGATGGAATAACAGCACAAAAAAGTGTCATAGACTTTTTTTCAATATTATAAGAGGACGACTTTGGTCCTTTTAAAAGGCATGCCCCTGGACTGGGAAGGTGGCTCAGTGGTAGAGTGCTTGCCTTGCATGCATGAGGCCCTGGGTTCAATTTCTCAATACCACATAAGCAGAAAAAGCCATGGCGCTGTGGCTCAAGTGGTAAAGCACTAGCCTTGAGCTGAAGAGTTGAGGGACAGTGCCCAGGACCAGAGTTGAAGCCCCATGACCTACCAAAAAAAAAAAAAAAAAAAGAGGCACTCACCTATAATCCAAGATATTTTGGAGGCAGAGGTTGGAAGAGTCATGGTTGAGGCCAGCTTGGACAAAAAGTTAGTGAAGCCAGGCATGGTAGCACATGCCTTTAATTCCAGCTACCAGGAAGACATAGGAAGATTTTGATCTCAAGTTGGACTTGAGCAAAAACAAGACTGTATCCAAAAAAATAACTAAGGCAAAAAAGTACTGAATGAAGGGTCTGACTATAAGGCTCTGTTCAAAGTCTAGTACTTGGGGGTGGGATGTGCAGAAGAGATGAGTGCTTCTTTCTTTTGGTACTGGTACTGGGTCTTAAACTTAGAACCTTGGGCTTTTTTTCTTTGTTTTTGCTGGTCATGAGACTTGAACTCAGGGCCTAGGCGCTGTCCCTGAGCCTCTTTGTGCTCAAGGCTCTACCACTTGAGCCATACTACCACTTGAGCCACAGTGCTACTTCCAGCTTTTTTGAGTCTTATGGGGACTTTTCTGCTTGGGTTGGCTTTGAACAATGATCATCAGATCTCAGCCTCCCCAGTAGCTAGGGTTACAAATGTGGGCCACTGGAGCCTGGCTGAACCTTGGGCTTTTGCTTTTCTTTGATTTTTTTTTTTTTTACTAAAGACTAGCATTCTACCATTTGAGTCATACTTTCACTTCCAATTCTTTTCTGGTTATTAAGAGTCTCTCAGATTTATTTTCCCAGACTAGCTTTGAACTGTGCTCCTCAGATCTCAGCCTCATGTATTGCTGAGGAACACTTTTTATTCTTGAGATAAAGAAAATAATTCTAGCATCTGCAAATTAGACTCAGCTATATATCAGCATTATTATGTAACATATAATCATTATGTGATATATTTCTACTACATTTTATTTTTGTTACATGGAGACTTGAGAAGCTACAAGTGAAGTGGTTCTTTTTCCTCATTCCCCAAACCCAGTTTGGCTCATGCTACTAAGCACTTCCTCTGCTGCTGAGCTACGTATACCTCTCCCCTTTGTTTCTCTTGTACTGGTTATTTTTGCAGAAGGGTCTTCCTTTGTACCTATTTTAGACTTCCCATTGTAGCTGAGATGACAGGAGTGTGCTACCCACACCCATCATTTGTTTGAAAAGGGCTCTCGTGTTCGACTGTGTGATCCTTCTGTCTCAGCCTCCTGAGTAGCTAAGGATTGTAGGTTTAAGTCACTGAGGCCTGTTTTTTTTTTTTTTTGTGAAGCACAATGCATTGATCATGCAAAGTAAGCATTATCCCTGAGCTACCAGCTTCTGAAATTTAACATTTAACTATAAATGATGGTATAGAAAATAACTCTAGGGTTTGTTTCTTTTTTATAGATTAGATTGATTGTGGGAGAGGATTCATTGTTACAGGATTTTTTTTTTCCCTCTATCTTTTATTTTGTGTGAATTCTCATTGGGATTTTCTTGTATATTTTAGCCAGTGAGATTTGAGATGATGTAAGAATAAGTTTTGAAATTAATCATAAGAATCATGGACATTATATCATTATTCATATTTTATCATGGTTTAAAGACTGTACATGGCTGCTCAAGCTTGTAACACTAAGCTACTTGGGAGGAGAAGATCAGGGGATTTTATGCCCAGCTTTTAGATCAGCCTAGGCATAAAAGTTTATGACTCCATCTTAACTAATGACTAAGTGCAGTGGCATGGAGCTGCCATCCCAGCACAGGGTAGCCTGTGCATAAAAAAAGATCCTGTCTCCAGCTGGGCGCTGGTGGCTCACGCCTGTAATCCTAGCTACTCAGGAGGCTGAGATCTGAGGATCGCGGTTCAAAGCCAGCCCGGGCAGGAGAGACCGTGAGACTCCTATCTCCAATAAACCACCAGAAAACCAGAAGTGGCGCTGTAGCTCAAGGGCTGAGGGACAGCGCCCAGGCCCAGAGTTCAAGCCCCACGACCGACCAAAAAAAAAAAAAGATCCTGTCTTTTAAATAACACATAAAGGAACTGGCAGAGTTTCTCAAGTGGTAGAGTGCCTGCTTAGCAAGTGTAAGGTCCTGCATTCAAATCTCAGTACTAACAAAGAGAGAGAGAATGTTACCCAGAAATTTTTATTTTTCTTTCTAATGTTTAAAATTTTTCTTTGAGGCTGAAATAGCTTGTTTACATGCACAAAAATAAAACAGATAGGTTAATGGAGATGCATTAGAAAGGAGGGAAATAAAGGAAAGGGAGAGATGGAGGAGTGAGATTGATCAGGATGTTGTATACATGTGTAGAGATGTCATACTGAAACCCTCCTTGTGCAACTCATGTTTGTTAATTAAAAAAAAATTCTCTTTGTAATAGGATAATCACCATCTCTTCGGTAGTACTCTGTTGGGAATTAAGGATGATGATGCAGATTTGAGTCAGGCTCTTTGTTTGGCTGTCTCAGTGTCAGAGATCCTTCAAGCAAATCAGCTGCAAAGTGTAAGTAAAAAACCCATTTGTCAGATGGCTTTAAATATATGGAATTGAGAGGACCATAGCCCAGTGAGCATATGCTTAGGATGCACAAGCTTCTGGGTTCAGTCCCTCTCATTAAACATTTCCTCCCTGTTCAGTGATTCCCACTAAATTAATTTACTGTAATACGTAGCTGTTCAGTCTTTTTGGATAAGTAGGTTAAATCTTCTATGCATAATGGTCAATTCAAACCATCAACTTGCCTGTTATTTTAGTTATCAAATTAATTGTTTTTGTCATTCTTGACACCAATTTCTATAAATTGCCCTTTTTCATATTTCAACATGGCAACTGAATGCTATGTATGTTATACTTAATTTTTAGCCTTTAAGAGGATATATCCTAATTGAATTACATAGTTTAATGAATAAACCAGAATTATGAAAGAATTATAGTTTTCTATTCACTGTTGTACACGGAAATCTAAGAAGTCAGTTTGGTCAGTAGTTTTTTTTTTTTAGTATCTGTTGTTCATTATTTAACCTTAGATTTGAAGGTGAGCTATATTTCCAAGATGGTATCCAAGAGAGGAATGGGTATGGGAAGATGAGCTTTTATGATACATTTCAGTTGAGCTTCGTACAGTATCTATACTGGTTGTTCAGAGTTTTAAAAACATAAGCATCTCAACATATTTATCATATTAGAACTAGTATTAAAAAGACCTGTGTAATATATAGTTTAAGGAGACTTACTCACATGAACTCCCTTTTACACACAAGAAAGGTATTTAGTTCTTGGATGGTAAGATATGGACTTAATCTTACTTGTATTAAATAAATAATATAGTTTTTTAGATTCCAATATAGGTAGTTCTATAGCTCATAGTCTTGCTATACATTTTAACACTTTCAAGAGCAATGGCTAAAGTATATGTTAAGCACTTAAAGTGTTTAGGACTTTGAGGTTATTTTTAATGTCTATAACAAAATGTGTTCCAAATCCTGTATGAAATCCATTTTTTACAAACAGGTTTGCCTTTCTTTGTGTTTTTGTTACTATCATATTGTATAACTGGAACCTGATGTCAAATTCCATTGTGTCAGATGTTGTTTCCCTTTTAGGAAGGAGTCCGCTTCTTTGTGGTTGATTGCCGTCCTGCAGAACAGTATAATGCTGGGCATTTATCGACTGCTTTCCACTTAGATTCAGATCTGGTTAGTATAAATGCTGATTAATTTTTTTTTTGGGGGGGGGTCCAGTCGTGGGGCCTGAACTCTGGGCCTGGGCGCCGTTCCTCAGCTCTTCAGCTCAAGGCTAGTGCTCTACCACTTCAGCCACAGCGCCACTTCCAGCTTTTTTCTTTTTGCTTATGTGGTGCTGAGGAATCGAACCCAGGACCTCATGCATGCAAGGCAAGCACTCTACCACTGAGCCACCTTCCCAGCCCTGATTAATTTTTTTATGAGAGAATTTTTTTCCTTTAGCTGTCAATATACCTGGCCTAGTTTGAGAAACTTTATCTGCTTAATGAGAAAAGAGTCTCATGTTTCCTTTTCACCTAGAAACACTCTTTTGCTCTTTTGGCATCATAAAGGGTAACTGAGAACTGTTGCCTATGGCTTACTTCTGCATACCATTGTTAGGTCAGTAAATTTTTACTGTTCTTACTGTGGGCTGCTTGATAGATTACTTAGCGTAGTGCCTTGCACCTAGTAAGTCTGCTACAAATATCAGCTCTTATTTTAATTGGGTAAGAATTATATAACCTTTTTATCATTAAGCTATTTTTTAAAATCATGAGTATGAATGCATATAATTCATACGTAATAAGATAATATCTGACTTACAAGTACCTAGTTGTTAAAATTATAACCCCAAAGTAATTTTAGTTAAGGAGTAGATAAAGTAATTAAATGGTCGGAGATACTTAGAGCTCTTGGTAGAACTGAGGCTGCAGCACTTACGGTGTTTTAAGGTCATCAGAGCCACAGGAATGGGGAAGCAGAGAAGAGTGGAATAATAAATATACAGTTTACCCTGTTTATCTCCATCTTGTCTGGCAAGTTGACAGTGAGGCTAATGGAAGTGTAGAAGGGCGTAGATGGTTTTCAGAGGGAACTAACTGAAGGGGGTTATAGATGTGGCTCAGTTAGTAGAGCGGCTTGAACCAAGTTTAAGTCCTGATCTTGGAAAGAAAAAAGAGCCTAGAGAGTTTTGGATCCTGTAGCTGAGAAATGCTATTCTAGGTTGTTTGTATCCTGTAAGTGAACTTGGCACTTTTCTCTTCCTTGAATCTTCTCTTAGGCTTACTTTAAAATTTTACTCTGGTGATTCTTGAATACTTTCTGTTTTACAATTAAAAAAAAAACTCCAGAGTTAACTACTATTATCAACTTGCTTACCTTTCAGACTTTCAGTAACATATTACTTGTTTTATCACTTGCTTGTTCACTCAAGTTATCTTGGAAATTAAGTATAATATATATTTAATGCTGCGTAGTGGTCCATGGTATAGATACACCATAAAGAGAAAAAGCCAGAAATAGTGCTGTGGCTCAAGTGGTAGAGTACAACCCTTGAGCAAAAAGAAGTTCAGATACAGTGCCCAGGCCCTGAATTCAAGCCCCAGGACTGGCCAAAGAAAAAAAAAAGGAAAAAAGATATGCCATAGTTCATTGCCTGATTAACCTATGCTTGATTATTTTTAAATTTCTTTTAACACACTGTTATAAGATCTTTTTTTTTTTTTTTTTTTTTTTTTTTTGTCGGTTCTGGGGCTTGAACTCTGAGCCTGGACGCTATCCCTCAGCTCTTCAGCTCAAGGTGAGCGCTCTACCATTTGAGCTACAGCGCCACTTCTGTTTTTTTTTTCTTAGTGGTTTATTGGAGATGGGAGTCTTCCCCGGGCTGGCTTTGAACTGCAATCCTCAGATCTTAGCCTCCTGAGTAGTTAGGATTACAGGCGTGAGCCACCAGCGCCCAGCTAACATCTTTATATATACTTGAGTCATCATCTCAGCCCTTTCTTGATTTTCTCATTTTTTTCAGATAGGATCTCCTACCTGTTTTTTTGTTTGTTTGTTTGTTTTTGTTTTTGTTTTTTTTTGCTCATCCTGGAGCATGAACCTCAGCTCCTAGGTGCTGTTGCTGAGCCTCTTTGTACTCAAATCTAGCACTTTAACGCTTGATCCACAGTACCACTTCTGGCTTTTTTTCTTTTTCTTTCTTTTTCTGAGTCATGTATTAGAGATACGAGTCTCATGGGGACACATTTTTTGCCCGGGCTGGCTTCAAACTGAGATTCTCAGATCTCAGCCTCTTGAGTAGCTAGGCTTGAGCCACCAGCTCCTAGCTCTCCTGTTTTTTGACTTCAGTCTTTCTACCTATGCTTCCCACATAGTTGAGATTACACAAGCATGTGCAGATAGATTCTTGCTAACTTTCTGCCTGGGCTGGCCTTAAACTGCAATCTTGATTTCCACCTTCCAAGAAGTATTGTTAGTTTTCTTATTATATCAGACTGATAAGTGAAAAATGATTGTAATTACTAATAAGATGGAACACCTTGCTTTATTATATTTAATTTTTAATAAGTAGTACTTCGATATACTCTATCAATTCCTATATTTTTATTGTAGTTTGATTATAGTCCCATTATGTTTTAATTTTTTGTAATTATTAATATACTTGTTTCCTTGAGGATAAATCAATTTTTCATCCTTGTGTCAGCAGTACCTAAATAGTGTTGATAAATAATGGCTTCTATTTCTACCTGTCCTATAAGAAATAATGGTTCATTGTGTAAGTGGAAACTAAGATGTAGAGCTGTTTGATCTGTCTTTTTGGCATCATGCCTACACACGCTGTAGCTACTAGTTGTTTTGCTTTCTAAGAATTTTTTTTTCTGTAGTAGAGTAGTATTTTTTTAATCTTTGAATTTTCAACTCTGTTCTAATGTATTATAGATACACTAGATACACATTGTAGATACACATTCCTTTTCTCTTATCCTAGGGATTTTTATTCATAAGAGACTTACTTTTCCATTGCTCTGCATGGCTCTGTAAATATCAAAGGTTTTCCTGGAAAGATAACTTTAAATTTTGAAATGCATGTGAAACAAACACTTGCCAAGTTTCTTATTTTTTTGAATTGTCTAGATGCTTCAGAATCCATCAGAGTTTGCACAGTCAGTAAAATCTTTGCTGGAAGCACAGAAGCAGTCCATTGAGTCTGGCTCCATAGCCGGCGGGGAGCACCTCTGTTTTATGGGTAGTGGCAGGGAGGAAGAAGACATGTATATGAACATGGTCCTGGCACACTTTTTACAGGTATGCTGACGTAGATTATTTCATTTGCTTAGTTACTGCTATCACCATGAAGAAATTCACATAGATAATTTCATGTAGATAAATGTCTTATTTTCTGTATATTTTTCTTTACAGCTTTTTAGTTTTGTGTCTTGCCTAGAAAGGTAATTTTCTTCTCCAGACTTTGCTCCCATACTTAGCATGTTTTCTTTTCTTTTTTTTTGTTTTGAAATAATATAGTCTTGATCCATCTGGTCTTTGTTTTGATGTACGAAGTAAAGTAGGAATTAATGTTTTTTTTCCAGATAGGAAATCAATTCTGCTGTCATTCTGAAATGTTACTTTTTTAATACACTGAATTGCTTATGCATCAGAGTCTGTCTACATTATGCTGTTGCATTGATCTTCATGCCTATCCATTCTCTGTATAGTTGCTATATAATTCATTTTAATGTCCTATTTATTTGGATAAATATTTATACATATTTATCCTTACATTTATACATCTTTTCTTTTTGTGTTTGAATATTATCTTCAGCTTAGCTGATTTATATTAATGTTTTTATGTAACCTGACTCTCTACTTTTATTGTATCAGCCAATGATTGCTCCTTATTTTTTTAAAGTAGCTTATTAAATTTTTTTGTAGTTTTCACATTGAAGTCCTTACTTTTTATGATCCTAAACTATAGAATCAGAAAGATTGTTAGCTTGTTGTTGTACAAGTCGCTCAATTTGGATTCGTTTCTATACGTTTCATTTTACTGTGACTGATCTGAGAAAATTGTTCTAAAACCCTTGAGAGACAAAGTTAGAATGAAAAAGATATTTGGAGGAGGGATTATCAGATGATTTTAAACCATATTAATGGAGAAAGTTAAAATTACGCAGAATAATAAAAATTTTTAAATTGTTTCAGAAACAGTACAACTATGTATGAAAACGGCATAAGGAATCTCAACATAGATAAGTAGGGGGTCCGGGTCAAATATAGGCCGTGTACATCTGAAATACATGGTAAAAACCCTTGGTACAATTAAGAAACACTTAAAAAAATTCCAGGGAAATAAAACAGGTTCTTTGGGAGTATGCCATTGGGGGAGGGGTTGAGAGAGTGAATGAGCATGAATATAGTCAAGATACTTTATTTGCATGTATGAAAATAAATCTGTTGAAACTGTTTTAAGAAGGGAGTAGGTAGATAAAGAGTGGTAAAAGATGGTAAGTTTGATTGGGATACATTGTTTACATATATATATGGCAACATCACAATGAAACCCTCACTGTACGATTAATGTATGGTAAAAAATACACTAAAATGCTCTAGTATCAAGAATAATACTGTAAACTTTATCTTTCATTACAGAAAAACAAAGAATATGTGAGTATTGCCAGTGGAGGATTTATGGGTAAGCCTTTAATTTATACATACCCTTGCCTCTACTTTTCTTTTTTTGTGCCAGTCCTGGGGCTTGAACTTAGGGCCTGGACACTGTCCCTGAGCTTTTATGTTGAGCCATAGTTACACTTGTAGCTTTTTGTGGTTAATTGGAGATGGGATTCTCATCGAGTTTCCTGCCTGTGCTGGCTTTGAATCACAGGCTTCATATCGTAGCCCTTTTTGAGGCTAGGATTACAGGTGTGGGCCACTAGCACCTGACTGGCCTCATGCTTGTGAGGCAAGTGCTGTTACACTGTATTCTTGATGCTTCCAGAAATACTTACATAAACGTGTATGAAAACTTGCTTATATTATTTACCTCTGTGGAGAAGACTGGTAGGATTAGGAAACAAGAGTTAGAACAGTACTTATCATAGTTTGCCCTTTGTACTACTCATTTTTTAACTGCTTGAAGGTATAAACTAGTAAGAAAATAGTGGCTAGATATAAAAAAAAAAGCTGACATTTTCAAATCCATAGACTAATATCTGATAATCCAGTATAGTACAATAATTTGCAAAGTCTTTTTGGTATTTCAAACTTATGAAGGATTGGGTCAGTATAATAAGATTTCTTTTAACAGCTTGCTTTATATTGAGAAAAGAGGTATAAAAGTGTAAAACTATCAGTGCTTGAGGAGATGAATGATAAAAATCAATATAAATTAAAGATAATTGAAGGGGGGATCCTTTTCCGGTTCATAAGTGTGATGATTGGGTTCTCACGCGCTTGCGTGATATGTGCCTCCCTCTAAACCTTGTTATGACGTGGGCACATTACACTTCTGATGTGAAAAAAGAAAAAAAAAAAGATGATTGAAGGGTGTTTTATCAGGGGTAACTTCTGACCTAGTATAATTTTCTAAGATAACCTAGAACTTTTGGTAAATTAGAATCAATTTCCTTTTGGTTTTGTTGATATTTGCATTCATTATGATTATCTCCTCTATATGTCATAGCCTGTAAACTAACTGCCTTTGAGACTTATATCTAGAGTTATCTATAAAAGGCACTAAGTATTGGTAGATAAGCATTGGCCCTTGACCTAGTGCTATTTATTAGGAATCCTGATAACCTGATAACCAGCTTGGTTATATTAGCATGTAGTTCTCAGAAGTATCCGGAAAGCTGCCAGGTACTAGTGGCTTACACCATGATTAATCCTAGCTACTTAAGAGACTGAGATCTGAGGATTGCAGTTCTAAGCCAGTCTGGCAAAAGGAAAGCCCGTGAGACCCTTAACTCTAATTAATCACAGAAAAGCTGGAAGTGGAGCTGTGGCTCAAGTGGTAGAGCACTAGCCTTGAGCAAAAAGAAGCTCAGGGACAGTGTCCAGGTCAAGGCCCAGGACAGGAAAAAAAAAAGTATCTGAAAAGCAGCAGTATTTTTTAAAAAATTCTATATAGTCCAGGTTGTCCTGGAACTGGTGATCCTCCTGCCTCATCCTCCCAAGTTCGGGGAGCCTAGTGTACTCTATATTTTTAGAAACAGGAGTTTATAAATAATAGTATACTCTATATTTTTAGACAAAAATACTAGACAGCTAGTATACTCTCATGCATTTAGACACTTCTTAAAATACCATTCTTTTTTTTTTTTTTTTTTACCAAGAATAACTTCTCTTTCCATAACTGTTAATAAGTAAGACTGCTCTATTATGGGAAAAATGATTTGATGTCTCTTTATGGTACAACAAAGACTCCATATGTTTTCTTTTCTTGATGTCATGGAAATGTTGCAGAGACTATCTGTTCATACTTGACTATTTGCCTTCTGAAAAGGAAAATATAAAGCTTACAGTCAACATTTTTCTCAGGGACAGTTAAGAAAAGTTCTCTGCAGAGGGATTTTAAGGAGTAGAGAAGAAAAGGTTTGTCATAGCTCTTAGTCCTTAATGCTAATATAGGGGTAGAGCAAGAAACTTTGCATTTATAGCCTTACATCCTTTTTCATTCAGTGATGCAATATTTGTTATACTTCTGTGGTTATAAATCTTTACAGAAATTCAGGTTTGGTTTTGTCTTGTTTATCTTAAGCACTGCAGCAGCACCTGGCAGATATTAATGTGGATGGACCAGAAAATGGATATGGCCATTGGATTGCTAGTACCTCTGGCTCAAGGAGCAGTATTAATTCTGTTGATGTAAGTTTATGTATAGAGTCAGTTTTAATCAATTCCCAGAAAAAGCAATTAACCCCACCACACAGAAATGGAGCCAGAATATTTCAGATACAAACAATAAAGCATCACATTATTGCAAGGGTCAGTGAAACAATGGAGGGGCCTGTAGAACAAAGTAGGCAACACTCCTAAGTGATTCCAGTAAGCTCCCAACTCATTTGGGGCAGGAGATGGTTAGGCTCCCGTTCACATCTCATGCACACTACATCTGTATCAACTTGACAGGATTAGGGCTTCCGGTGAGAATGGGGTAGGCAGAGAAAGAAAATGATGCCCACCTTATTTGATTTTTTGTTATTGAACTGTGCAGTGTTGCTCTAGTGGATAATTCCATTTTTTCTGTTTGAATTTTGGAAATATTTGAATACCTAAGTCTTTGTTGCTTTTTCCCTATTTCATGTTTAATGAAGTAGATGTCATTTAAAATTTTTTTTTTTGTCTTCCAAGTAAAATTTTCTTAAAGAACAGTTATCTCATGTTTATTCTTTAAAACAGAGAGAAAACTGCAGTACAAAAGCATGATTACTTTAGACTTATGCCTCTACCTTACCTGAGTGTGGTTTTACCTGTGTATCTTCTTCATGATCTTCAGCGAAATCAGCTCTGGTTTCTCCACTTGTGCAGTAGATGAGAGTAACAGAACTTTCTTCCTAAGAAGGACTTGAAGATTACATGTGTAAAAGCATGTAGAGTTCTTGTCCCTAAATATTGAATAGTAGTTACTACAAAGTTGTAATTCATTAAATGCATTTTTCTACTCAGAACAAAGACTATTGTTACATCACTATCAGTATTCATCACTATTCAGTAATGATTTTCTGAAAAATTTTTTACCACCATGATTCTTGAGATATATAAGAGGTGTTTGTGTGAAAAAACTAAGTAGTGTTCCATTGAATAGGTTTGTTTATATATAATTTATTCAGTTAGTACCCTACTGTGAAATACTTACATTTCCTGTCTTAAATTACTTTTATACTGATATACTTTCTTTTTTGGTTGATAATGGGGCTTGAACTCAGGCCTGCGTGCTGTCCGTGAGATTTTCTGCTCAAGGCTAGCCTTCTACTACTTGAGCCACAGCGCCACTTCTGGATTTTTCTGTTTATGTGGTACTGAGGAATGAAACCCAGGGCTTTATGCATGCTAGGCAAGCTCTCTGCCATTAAGCTGCCTTCCCAGCCCTGATATATTTTCATATACCTTTATTATTTTCGTTCTAGAGGGGAGTGGCTTGATCAGAAGTTGACTTATCAAAATCCCTAAAAATTTTGTTATGCCTATATAAGTTTTCATCAACTATTACCTCAATCTTTAGGTACTTTTTGGTTATTTTCCTCCCATAAATTATGAATTATGGGCAAAAGATAGAATCAGGTGGTGCCTGGCAAAAATCCAACCATTGTGAGCCTGAAGCAGGAGGGTTGTGAGTTTGAAACTGGCCTGGGGCTATATATAGCAAGATCCAGTCACAACCAGCAGGATCAATTTTAAATGAGAGAGTTTGACTTCTCTATTTATATTGCCCTCTAGAACACATGTAAGCTGTCCTGGAAGCAGTAGAAGAATCAGACCTGTTGCCTTAAATACATGAGCTGAACTTTTCTTCCCAAAGGGAAGACCCACATGTGAATGTTTTAAAAAGCAAAAAGAAATAAAATGTTTAAAAATTATGCCATACGAATAGTAGCTTGATTATATGATCCGTATTTTTGCAGACCGTCCTGACCTAAAAATTGTCAATAACTTATTAATAAAAAGTTTCAATGAAAAATAAAAAGTTTTCTGCACATCATTATGTGCAAAAAAACTCCTATTTTTTTGTTTTACCTAACAGTTTTAAGTGGTTTCATCCAGAAAATTTACTATTGTTGCCCTAACAAACTGCCACAGACGGAGGGGTGGGGGTGGGTGGTTTAAGCAGCATAAATTGATTTTTCTTTCAGTTCTGTAAACTGAAAGTCTAAGATCAAGGTGTTGGCAGGTTTGGTTTATTCTAAGTGTTCTTTCCTTGGTTGCAGATGGCTTCTTTCCTAATCCTCACATGGCCTTTTCTCTGTGCCCATATCTCTGTATGTCTCCCTTTTTGTATATGTGGGGGGGGGGGGGGAGGAACGGGGGTGGTAGTCCTGGCAGCTTGAAGTTAGAGCCTGGCATTCTTTCTTGGCTTCCTTGCGCTCTGCTGTTTCTCTGTCCCTTGAACTATGCCTCTATTCAGCCATTTTGCTGGTTAATTGGAGAGGTAATCTCACAGACAGTTCTGCCCAGTCTGATTTCAAGTCATGATACTTCAGATCTTAGCCTTTTCAGTAGCTAGGATTGCAAGTGTGAGCTACAGTTTTTGGGCTATCTCCTTCTACAGGAGTGGTTTAGACCCCATCCTGATGTAATGTAGTCATGTTTTTTTGTTTTTCCTAGTGCTGGAGTTAGAACTCAGGACCTCTGCACTTGATAAGCAAGACCTCTACCACTTGAACCATTCCCCCAGCTGATTGAGCTTTAGTACTTTTTGGATAGTCTCATGTTTTTGCCTAGGGCTGATCTGATACCTGGATTTTCCTATGTAGATTCATAGGTAAATTCTGTACATATATTTTACGTGCAGTTGAGATTACAGAAACCCAGTTAATTGATTGAGACAAGTTTTTGCTAACTTCAAAGGCCGTATTTCTAAGTACAGTCTTATTCTGAGATATACTAGGAGTTAGGATTTTAATGTAATTGTTTGTTGAGAGATATAATTCAGTATGTAACATGGATAACCTTTACTAGTAGTGTGCTAATTATTTGGAGAACAGTTAATCTTATGTTCTTATTTTTCAGGGAGAATCTTCTAATGGATCAAATGATAGAGGAATGAAATCACTAGTAAATAAAATGACTGTGGCTCTGAAGACAAAATCTGTTAATGTCAGGGAAAAAGTTATTAGTTTTATTGAGAATACATCAACTCCTGTGGACCGGTGAGTTTCTTATACAGTATAAGCTTATGAGGACTTATTAGAACTAAGGAAATGTGTTTTACAGTAAATACGTTTGTTGGGAGTTTTCTAGGAAAGAATCATAAAGTACATTTTCTCAGATAATTTTATCATTTTTATTATAATTGCAGGGTATATTGTATTTTTGTAAAATTTGGCTGTGGAGATGCCTTCCCTTTCCCACTGCTCAGAATAAGATACAAATACCATTCATTAAAAAAAAAAATACCCAAATGTGCTTAAACGTCCTGTGCTTCATATAGCAGCTGTTTCCCAAATAGTAACTGGATGAGGATCATCTACCAAATGCAGGGATTTCATAGTAGGAACTCTTTTCCTCTGCTCCACTAATTTAAACTGTAGACAGTTTGCTTATACTAATATGGTAGAATCCCACTTCATGAAATATAGATCTTCATAGAATTTTGTCTAAAAATATAAACAGATTCCATTTTCCTGTGAAATAAAATGGACCTGGTAAACAATTGATAAGAAAATTTAAGTATCTATTTTACTACTCATTGTTTTATATACATACATACATACATATATATATATATATATATATATATCTGTAACTGTAAATACATATATATTTGCCATGTATTGATCTTTCTTGTTTGGGAACAAGTTTAAGACTATATAATTGTAACAGAATTTGTTTCTAAACAAGTAAGCTTGGGAGCTTTTTTTATAGTATTTGATTTCACTCTCGTATTTTATTACTTGCATGTATCCTGGGAAGTGAAATACTTGATTGTAAGAACTGGATGTCAGAAGTACATTTATTTGTATTTAGTAAATACTAAAAATGATAATAAAATATTTTTGCTAATCCAAAAAAACCCCTCTCCCTTATGTAAAATACTCTTGATTGCTGTTAAAGTGTTTTATCAAGCCTGAAAGATTTGCTCACAAGAGCCTAACATTTATTTGGAGTTAGTGCTTCTGAATTGCAATACTATTTCTGCTACATTTTGTGGCATGACCATTTAAATTTTTATTTTAAAATACACTCATTTCATGTAACTAATGTAAATTAGTGGTGATTGTCAGCTAAAAAGACAGTTGTCTTTGTTAATGTATGAATTAAAGCTGGCTTCTCTTTATATTTCTTTGTACTTGGAATGATTGAAATATTTTCTTTGTAATGTACTTCTGAGTTAGGGAAAGTGATTACACTATATTTTTGTTTTTAAAGCTGTTGCATTTTTTTTCTTTGTAATCATTTCATTCTGTCCTCTGCCTCGATTTGCTATAGAATGTCTTTCAATCTTCCCTGGCCAGACAGATCATGTGCAGAGCGGTAAGCCAAAGTAGAGCAGCTCTGTTGAGCCTTCCTTTTCCATCAGCATGCTTCACGTTGTACACTTGTGTTTTTTGGCTGTAACTTCATGCAGTATTTCAAAAGCTGAAGTTTGCTTATATTGCTTATAGGAGTGTGTGTGCTGGGAGTTCTGCTTTTCTTTTTGTTTTTTACTTGGGTCATTTTTTTTCCTTGCATGTTTCTGTCTCTCTTCCTAGGTAAAAATCAAACTTGTTCAAACCTAAGAACTTCATAAACTGGGCAGTTTTGGTTCTGAGACAAGAAAGGGTAATATGTGTAATATAGAGTAGGCAGGACATTAACTTTGAAAATAATTTACTACTACCAATTTGCAGCTTGAACAAAATTATAGTACCTATAGAACCTATAGTTCATGGTTCAAAAAAATGTCTGGTGTGAAGAATTGAACTCTGGACCTTGTGGAGTCTCAGCTCTTTGCAACTGAGCTGCACTCCTAGCCTCGAAAACTGTAATATGCATTATGTAAATACATGTGATTTTTAGGTTTAAAAATGTATGTTTTTAGGTTGGTGAATTAAATATACATACATCTGTTCAAAAGAGCCAGAGTTCTAGGGTTCTACCTATAGTTCTTTGAAAGAAATCATGCTAGATATTTTAATATCTTACGTCTGTACCTCCTCCACTAAGATGAAGTGTTTGTCATTAAAAGACATAAAGATTCCCACAAGTATAAGATTTAAAAGTCTGAGCCTTTAGTTAGGATGTAAAGAACATTACAATCAACTTAATTTTACACAGTCTTAGTTTTTCTACTTAAAATTTCTATGCAATTTAAGTCAAATATTAATTATGAACATTTAAAAGGAAATTCTAGTCATTCTTTTGATGTATGTTAAGCTTTAGAATAGATTGATATTTTCCTCAAGTTATTTCAATTTTTCAGTGACTAGATCCAGCATTTCATTGCTTACCTAATAACTTGCATGATGAGAGTTTATTTATTGATTGATCCTACCTATTCTACACATAGTGAACCTATTATAATTTTACTTAAAATTATTTTAAAGGGCATTGCTTCTTTGAATTTTTTTTTTTTTTTGTTGGCTGTGGGGCCTGAACTTTGGGCCTGGGCGCTGTCCCTCAGCTCTCCAGCTCAAGGCTAGCACTCTACCGCTTGAACCACAGAGCCACTTCCGATGTTTTCTGCTTATGTGGTACTGAGGTATTGAACCCAAGGCCTCATGCATGCAAGGCAAGCACTCTACCACTGAGCCACCTTCCCAGCCCCCTTCTTTGAAAATTCTATCCTAGCACTAGGAGTATGGCTCAAGTGGTAGAACACCTGTCTGTAAGCATATGATCTTGAGTTCAAACAAAAAATAAGCTAAATAACATAAAGTTGTAATCTGTTTGTAAATCATCTTTCTCCTTTTTCCTGCAATGAGACCATTGAGTTAGTCTAACTTAACTCTCATGTTTTCTCCAAGTACTTAAATTTTTATGACTGCAAATCACCTGTCACATATGTACTATAAACAAAATTAATAAAGTTTTGTTTTTCTGAAATAAGAAATTAAATTAAAAACACTTATTTTATGGGGTTTCTGGTGTTTTTTTTTTTTTTTTGTACTGGTACCAAGGCTTGAACTCAGGGCCTTGTTCTGTGCTTTGGCTTACTTGCCTATGATTGGTGCTTTCCCTCTTGAGCCATGCATCCAGTCTGACACTTTGAGGGTTAATGATTGGAAATAAGAGTCTTGTAGATATTTCTGCCCAGGCTGTCTTCAAACCACGATCTTCCTAGTCTCCTGAGTAGCTAGGATTATAGATATGAGCCTGTACTGTCTGTTCTAGTTCTTTTTGGGATTTGATTTATGTTTATGTCCAGGCCAGCCTGGACCATTATTCTTCTATTTGTACTTCCCAGATAGCTGGATGACAGCATGTGCCACCACACCCATATTGGTTGAGTTTAGATCATGTTAACTTTTTGCTTGAACTGCCTTGAACTTCAGTCCTGATCTTTATTTCCCAAGTAGCTAGGATCCTAAGTATGAGCCACCATGCCCAACCAATACACCTCTTCTTAAATATAGTCCAACCATCTCCCCCCCCACCACCACAACAACAAATTCTAGCCATTGATTTTTATTCATTTTTAGCAAGTATTTAAAGAGTAATCTTTCTTTAGCATTCATAAAATCTTTGGGGTATATAATCTAGATTAGTAATTTGTTTTTCAAATAATTATCTCCTACTCATTTTTTGGTTCAAATATTTATTCTAGTATAGCATGATGGTTATTTTTTATGCTGTAGTAGTTTAAGCTTTAATATCAAGATAATTTACAATTTAATATCAGAATTTTATAATCTAAATGAGCATTTTCTCTTTTGCCTTTTAATAAAATGTTCAGTCTGAGTTTTAAAGTTGATTGAACTATTCATTTTCTCTTTTACCAGCTTTTCATTACTGTAACAAAATGCCTGAGATAATCTTTAAAAAGAGGAAATGTTTATTTTTACTCACAATTTTGGATGTTTCAGTCAATGTTAGGACTGACCCATTGCTTTTGGACCTGTGGTGAAGTGGCATTTTGTGGTGGGGAGTACACAGTGGGGTAAAGCGGGTCACCTCATGGCTGGGATGTAAAAGAGAACCATGGTGGGTCATGGTTCCAATTTCCTGTTGAGGAGCTCATCACCCCCCACCCCCCACCCACCCCCCCCAACGCCTTAAAACTTCCAACTTGGTTCTTCCTCTCCATTTCAAGGCTGGATGCTGACTTCACCCACAGGCTTTGGCAGAACATCACTGATACACAATATAGCCCTTTAGAATGAACATAATTTGGTAATATACAGGATAATTTTACATTAGCTATATTTTAACCTAAAAACTAAGTGAGTTTCTTGCTTCTAACTTAAACTTCATGCACAAGTTAACCTAATTCATAATTGCTTTTTTGGAGGAATATTGTTTGGAAGAAGTAAAAATGTAAGTCTCTTTCAACAAAATTAGGGTATAGTAAGCTCTTAATTGATGGTATACATTAAACTTATTATTAAAATAAATTCAAGGGGCTGGGAAGGTGGCTCAGTGGTAGAGCCCGTGCCTTGCATGCCTGAGGTCCTGGGTTGATTCCTCAGGGCCACATAAGCAGAATGAAAAAAGCCGGAAGTGGCGCTATGGCTCAAGTCAAGTGGTAGGGCGCTAGCCTTGAGCTGAAGAGCTGAGGGACAGCGTCCAGGCCCAGCGTTCAGGCCCCACGACCGGACTCAAAAAAAAATTAAAATTAATTTATTAAAACTGAGACATGACACACTTTGGACTGTGTTTGAAAAGTAGAGGATAGAAAAGGATTCTGAGTGTCTTCATGTATGATGAAGAAAAGCAAAAAGCAAAGCCTTCCTCTGGAGTGGATAAACCTCAGTCTTTTTTTTTTTTTAATTTTATTTTATTTTATTTGAGAACATACTGTACAGAGGGGTTACAATTACATGGGCAGGAAAATGCATACATTTCTTACCAAGCATTGCAGCCTCCTCCTTTGTTTACCCTTCACCTCCCTTCCCAGCCTCCCCCCTCCCCTAAACCTCAGTCTTATCCTGCAAATAGAGCAAGTTTTTTCCCCCCCAGAAGCATGTAGTATTTTGTTAAAGTATTTTAATTTCAGTTTTGTTTACTTGAAAAGCGGTTAGGTATTACCATAGTAAGAGAGGAATCACACTTCCTGTAGTACTAATTGAGTCTATATGTTTCTGCCTCATGTTTCTCATGTATCTGCCTCTTGAAAAAGAAAGATTCATTTTCATTGCTTATATTTATTCACTAGAAATAAAATCTTAGCTTTGATTAAAATAAAAGTAGGGATGGGGTTGGAAGCATGGCTGAGGTGGTACTCCAGCAGCCTGTGAACAAAAGTGTTGGTTAAGAGTTTGAATCATGGTCTCAGACAAGAAAAAGAAAGGAAGGCTGAGGGGTATAGCTCATGTGAGCCTCTGAGTAAATCTCCAGTAACACACACACACAAGTAATACCAGGAATAAGAAAATCTGGGGAAAAAATTCCAAGACACTTGTAAGAGAAGCCTTGAGCACTGTTATTAAATTTAAATAGTGCTATTTCTTGTTTTTTGGAGTTTTTTTTTTTTTTGAGCCAAGATGGGGCATGAACCCAGTATCTTACCCTTACTTTTGCTCATTGGTTGGTGCTCTATGACCTCAGCCATGCCTCCAACCCCTATAACTTGTTTTACATAATAAACATATATATATATATATATATATATATATATATATACACATATACATGAACTAACTAGTAGGCATTTTCTAAAGAAAAAAATCTTTCATTTATTTTTCACAGTAACCCTAAATTTGCTATCACAAATTTAGTAATGAGGAAATAGAACACAGAAAGATAAGTAACTTCTGAGGGTCAAGCAGATCTAAGCTTTGGTTAGAACAAATAATTTCAGTTTACAGAGTTAAGAAATATCAGCTTCTCAAGTATGTTTGGTACTTTTGCTAACATTGCTAACATAAGTTCTTTATCTTCAATTTCCTTAACATAGCTGTCCTAAAGTTATGGGTGTGGCATAGGACCAAAGAACATTTGTTTGAATATTTATGTGATGCTTAGTAAAAAATCTTTACTTAAGTGATATTTTCCCTCTTAAATTCTTTGAATGTAGGCACGTGAGCAGCAGTGACAGAGTAGGCAAACCTTACCGTGGTGTGAAGCCGGTTTTCAGCATTGGAGATGAAGAAGAATATGACACAGGTACGGTATCACTTAACTACAGACTTTCTCTTCAGCCACCGAGAGTAATTGTAGAAATCATCCTGGAACCAATGAATTATAACTGACTGCTTTATAAAACAACCAGTGATGTTCTACAGGAAGAATTGAAGGGTCAAAAGGGGGAAGACTTTAGCTGTAGACATGAAAAGTCTGTTAAGTTCCTTTCGTCTCTCACTAAGAGATTATAAGAGTTCAGAGAATTCTAAAATGGACATCTGAAAAAAACTTGATGCAGTATTCTAAAAGGCCACAAGATGGGGACATTGGGTTAGGGAAATTTTTCTTTTTGTATTTATTTTACAAAACAATTGAAGGGGTGACACTGTTTAAAAGAAATGTACTCATGCCAGCTCACGCCTATAATCCTAGCTACTAAGCAGGCTGAGATCTGAGGATCAAGGTTCAAAGCCAGCCCAGGCAGGAAGTCTGTGAGTCATATCCAGTTAACGACCAGAAAATGAAGTGGTGCTCTTAAGCTGAAGAACTCAGGGCAGGGCCCAGGCCCAGAGTTCAAACCCATGACTGCAAAAAAAGAAATGTACTCAATACCCTCTGTACAAACCCTCTGTGCATCACCTTTACAATAAAAAAAAATTACACCGGTTTATAATTCAATAGCCCAGATTATCCTGATTAATCATAATTAATTTTAATATGTATTTAGTTAGGAAAAATGTATGTAAGTGTATAAAAGGAGGAAGAAAGTGATTCCTAACTTTTATCTTGCCCTTTCCACTTAGTAGTATAATAAATACACGGTATTTTCCAGTTCAGCCTATCTGCCTTCTCAATTCTTTGTCATATACCATAACTACTTAATTTTTTTTTTTCTGTTTCACATGGCATTTTTAGAAAAAAAAATGCTGGTCTTTGGGCTTGAATTCAGGGCCTGAGAGCTGTCCCTAAGCTTTTTTGTTCAAGGCTAGCACTGAACCATTTGAGCTATAGCTCTACTTCTGGCTTTTTTGGTGGTTAATCAGAGATCAGAGTCTCACTGCCCCGTCTGGCTTGGAATTGTGATCCTCAAATCTCAGTCTTCTGAGTAGCGAGTATTACAGGCATGAGTCACTGGCCACCAGCTCGAATGGCAATATTTTCATACATATGTCTGGATGAACTATTGAAAGTATCTACAGAGAGTGAATTCTTGGCAGTAGGATTACTACATTAAAAATAATCACATTTGACATTTTTGTAGACATTTCAAAATTACCTTCTAGAGATCTTGTATTGAGAGAAATATGCTATCTCTAGTTGTTTGCTTTTCCTCTTCCTTTTCTGTGGCCATTTTCCTATTTCTGTCTCTCCTTGAATATCTCAACCTCTTTCATTAGAGGAGATGCAAATGAATGAATACATGTGGCATGTTTACATTTATCATACACATACAGGGGGAAATAGGTCAGTATGAAAACGAGAAATTTAGATCTATATATATCAACAAGCATACATTTAATAATGCTAGGAGCAGGGTAGAAGTTGCAGAAGAATGTAATTAAATGATCTATTTTTTATAAATGTTTAAACTGGAAACACTGCTACATTCTATTTAAGGATATTTATGTGTGGCTAAATTAAAAGCATTTGTGGAACAAGTCATACCAAATAGAGGTAGTGACTACTCAATTCAATGAGGCTGAGAAGAGTCTGTGATTGGGTAGAGAGGTGTCACTGTTACTTAAGTTGAAAAACATTTTCTTTTTAATTATGTTTATTTCTTTAACAGTAGACATCAAAGGGAAGAACATTTATTGTTTGCCTAAGAACTTATTTACTAATTTTTAAAAACTAGATTAAATTGGAATGTTTTTGGTGTTTCTAATAAAAAAGAATTTTACTCATTTATTCCTGGAAACTTTATTGTTTTTCTTTTTTAAAATCAGAGACCAGCAAAGAAAAAACTCGGCCATCTTTATCTCAAGTCAGGTGCTTCAACCATCTCTCCATAGACTAGTCAGATCAGAGTTGTATTATCTATGTCAAGACATTTTTTTAAAGTTCATTCACAATATAAAAATCATATTTCATAATATTTGTGTGTGTATATATATATATATATATACATAAGGAAATAGTGTGTTAGAATTGATTTTCATTCTCTCAAACCTAAAATACTATAGACAGTCATCTAAAATACTACAGAAATAATTTTGAAATCTCAGGTTAAGAAATACGTTAAAATTGATAATGTCCACTTTTTTGTGTGTGTGTGCCAGTGCTGGGGCTTGAACTTGGGACTTAGGCGCTGCCCCTGAGCTTTTTTTTTCTTCCAAAGCTAGCACTCTACCACTGGGGTCACAGCTCCACTTCCAGTTTTTTTTGAGGGTGGTTAATTGGGTATGAGTTCCACTGACTCTCCTGCACAAGCTGGCTTTGAACTGTGATCCTCAGATCTCAGCTTCCAGAGTAGGTAGGATTACAAGCGTGAGCTACTGGTGCCTGCAATAATGTCCATTTTAACACGCTGCTTTCTTTATAGATGAAATAGACAGTTCTTCAATGTCAGATGATGATAGAAAAGAAGTTGTAAACATTCAGACTTGGATAAACAAGCCAGACATCAAGCATCATTTCCCTTGTAAAGAAGTGAAAGAAAATGGACACATGTTTCCCAGGTACTTTTGAAAATGTCTTTTTCAAAAGTAAAATTGAATTTTAGGGAATTAATGATAAAGTTGAATTACAAAAATACAATTTGCTACATATCTGCTTGTTTGTCTCAAGTTTTTAAAGTATTGTTATTTTGAAAAAATTAAAAGATATTAATGAAATTGTACATTGAAAACCTGGCAACATGTTCTAATACTGTTTATGTCAGTGTCTCTATGCATACACTTTTTTTGTCAAGCCATTTGAAGACTTCATTCCTAAACGCTTCAGTGTAATAATTATCCAAGACAACTTCAATGCCATTATTCCTTCTATACATTTAAAAAATTAATATATAACATGCAAATTTTACTAAGAAATTTTAGTATCTTAAAGTATCTTTTTTTGGTCTGTGTAGATCATGAGATGTGAACTCAGGGACTGGACACTGTCCTTGAGCTCTTTCACTCAAGACTAGAGCTCTATCACTGTGAGCCAAAGTTCTACTTTTCTAGTGCTTAATTGGAGATGAATCTCACAGACTTTCCTGCCTATTCTGGCTTCAAACCTCAGTCATCATCTCAGCCTTCTGAGTAGCAAGGATTACAGGCATGAGCCACAGGCACCCAGCATAACTTTTTTTTTTTGTGCCAGTCCTAGATCTTGAACTTAGGGTCTGAGCACTGTCATGAACTTTTTTGAAAGTTTAGTGTTCTACCACTTTGAGTCACAGCTTCACTTCTGGCTTTCTGATGGTTAATTAGAGATAAGAATATCAGAAGGAGCTGGGCGCTAGTGGCTCATGCCTGTAATCCTAGCTATTCAGGGGGGCTGAGATCTGAGGATCGTGGTTCAAAGTCAGCCCAGGTAGGAAAGTCCGTGAGACTCTTATCTCCAATAAACCGCTAGAAAACTGGAAGTGGCGCTGTGGTTCAGGCAGTAGAGTGCTCGCCTTGAGCTGAAGAGCACAAAGACAGTGCCCAAGCCCAGAGTTCAAGTCCCATGACCGGGGCCTGGGGGGGGGGGGGGGGAGGAAGGGAAATAAAAGAATTTCAGATGGGCTGGGAATGCTGCTTAGTGCTTACCTAGCATGCATGAAGCCCTGGGTTCAATTCCTCAGTGTCACATAAACAGAAAAAAAAAATTAGAAGCTCAGGAACAGTGCTTAGGCCCTGAGTTCAAGCTGCAGGACTAACAAAGAATTTGTTTATGATTTATCTGTCAGTAAAATATCAACTTTGCATTTAAGGAAAGAAAAGTGGAAAATTCTAGACATATGTGTCTCATGCCTGTAATTCTAGCTACTTGGGAGGCAGAGCTCAGGAGGATTGAATTTTAAAACCCTTTCTGAGCTTGTAGCTGAGGCACAGTGGTGCTTGCTTTGTTATCTCAATCTACTTGGGAGGCTGAAATTGGGAAGATCAAGTATCCAGTCCAGTAAGGGCAGAAGAGTCTGACAGACTTAGTTTCCACAGAGTGAAGCTAGACATGGTAACTAAAACCTTTGATGCCAGCAATGGCAGAAGCTTCAACATAGACAGATTGAGGCTGAAGCAGGCACTGGGGTGTCTGACACTGGCATCCTGGCTTGGCAGTATCATAGCAGCCTCACAAGCAAGAGTCCAAGTTCAAACCCTGGTATTGCGGGAAAAAGAGAAGAAAAGGAAAGGAAGTTGGAAGCTTCTGTTACGTAACTTATTTATTTATAGATTATCCTGTTTATATTTTGTATAAGTACCGCGCGCTAACCGATTGCGCCACTGGAGCTCCCTGTTTATATTTTGTAACTTGAAAATAATTTCAACTGGACATTTTTATAATTGATGTCAAAACAACACTTGTTTGAATTAACATTTACAATTTTTTTCTTCTGATATACCCTTTTTTTCTTTCAAGTCATTTGTTGGTGACTGCAACACACATGTACTGTTTAAGGGAGATTCTTTCACGGAAAGGATTGGCTTATATACAGTCTCGACAAGCACTAAATTCTGTAGTTAAAATTACGTCGAAAAAAAAACATCCTGAGCTAATTACTTTCAAATATGGAAACAGCAGTGCTTCTGGAATAGAAATATTGGCCATTGAAAGGTAAGATTTTTCTTGGGATGACATTATCTCAGTTACAAGTCATTAAGTACAGATTGTCTATTTTAGTGGAGCAGAATACTTGAAACACTTTGTGAGCAACATTTGCTGTATTTCCTTGCAGTTCTTAATCATAAGTGGTTTAGCCAGTAGTACATAATTTCAGTAAGTTCTCATAGCTGATTTCCTAAGTTTTTTGACACAACAGTCTTTAAGAATAGTCTATAACCAGTGCTGCATTAAAAATTGATTTGTAATAAAATAAGATAAATTCCCTAGTTTCCCTTTCTCTTACATTCATAATTTATAGTTTGCTATACTGCCTTGCATATGTACCACAGATAAAATATGTAATAGAATTTTTGTTCATTTATATAGAAATTTTTATTATATATAATTTTATTGTTATAAAGGTATTATACCAGAGGGGTTACAATTTCATAAGTCTGGTAATGAGTACAATTCTTCTTGGACATTGTCACTTCTTTTTTTGCTTTCCCCCATGTAAATATTTCAGTTTTCCCCACAATGTATATTTCAGTTTTTACATAGTGTATAGTGAATACCATGACTGTATATGTTCACCCTTCCTCTATTTCTGTACTCCTCTTCTGCCCTCCCAGACAAAAGAGACAAAACAACAACAAACAACAACAACAACAAAAAGAACCTATGTTTCCATTTCTTAGAATTTATTTTGATAAATGGTATTTTAGATGTTCCAAGGAGTTAGGCTCTTGGGTTGTTCCTCCTCTACTTGAGTATCTCCAGTTAACCACCAGAAAACCCGAAGTGTTGCTGTGGCTCAGTTGGTAGAGTGCTTTCCTTGAATTGAAGAGCTGAGGAACAGTGCCCAGGCTCAGAGTTCAAGCCCCACAGCCAATCCCCCCCCTCAAAAAATTATGTCTGTGTAACAGATTATATTTATATGGGGCAGTAGAGTATTACATGTGATTACCTTGTGTCTTAGTGTCTAGCTGTTGTGTATATTTGATAATAAAGAATTTTAACTGTGCCATGGACAAAATCACATTGCTTTTATGCTTAGATTTTCTTTCAAAGTAAGTTTGAATTGCTAAGTGCCAGTGGCTTACACCTATAATTTTAGCTACTGAGGAAGCTGAGCCCTGAGGCTTGAGGTTTTGGAACCAGCCCAGGTAGAAGAGTCTGTGAGACTCTTTTCTTCTGTTAACAAAAGCCCCACATTGGAGTTGTCATTTAAGTGATAGAGCAACAGCAACAGTGAGCATAAAAGTTGAGCAAGAGCTGAAGGCCCTGAATTCAAGCTCCACAACTGGTACACACAAAAAAGTTTCAGTTATCTGTTGCAGTAAGTTACAGGGAGCACAGAGGAGTGCATCTTTGTGCTGGCTTTGTGGATCAGGAGAAGCTTCCCTTTAGAAGGTGGCATGTCAGCTGAGTCCCTAAGGAAAGCTGCTCTATATTAATATATTTTTTTTCTCCCCTAGGTATTTGATTCCAAATGCAGGAGATGCTACCAGAGCCATAAAACAACAGATCATGAAAGTTTTGGATGCTTTGGAAAGTTAATATAAAAGAAATTTATTTAAATGAAATTAAGGCAACCAAGAGAAACATGAACATATATTTCCTAACTGAATACTAACCAGAGACCTTTCATTTGCTCATGGGGGTGCTTGAATAGCAGGTGTAAGTGCAAATTACTATAATCAATCTTGGGGTAGTTAAACTTTTTTTAAAGTTTTTCTTTGCAGTTTTGGTTTTATAAAATGATTTACTATAATGGTCAGATATTAAGTGACTTTGAAGTAACTGGCCATGTGCCCTTCCGGGCCGAGGGTACCGACACACCGACGCAGTTCTGTTTTGAAGAGCTGTTTTAAGGGAACATGTGTCACTTTGAGGTTTCAAAACAACCATACAGATACATGTGTGCAATGTCTTCACTGAACATTAGAGAGAATTGGTCAGAGACGTCCTTAATTACCACATTTAGTTTTACCCACTGAGAAATATCAGAAACTGAGGACATAGGTTGATAATTATCTCACTGTTTTATTCTTAAAAAGAATGAAGTATTTTTATTAAAATGGTTGATGCTTCCAGCCAACTCCAAATGTAGGCTCTCAAGTGAGATAGGGGAGCACTGGCTTCTAAGTCATCTTTGCTCCATTAGATAATTATTTGGACACTAAATGCTTCAGAGGTACTAAACTTCACAATGGTTTCTAAGGAGCAGTTAAAAGTATTGTAATAACTAGACATGTTAGGATTAAAGCTGGACTTAGGAGGATAGAAATGTATCTCTAAAAACGCTATTGGGCATTACTACAAGTATATTTGGTTTAGGATATTTCAAAATACATTGATTTATCCTTCTTGAGATGATGGTCTATGATCACACTAATAGCCACTTAAAAGCCAGATCATCTATTGGATACATTTCAATTGGTTTATATTGCATCCTCAAATGTTTTTCTTTTCTTTTTATTCTATCTTCTCACTAAAGATCCAGTGGTATAAAGCTACTTTTATTCTCTTAATATTACATAACTGAAGTGATCTGCTTTGTTTTGCAGCTTTCTCAGCTTAATTCACTGAGGCCTATTTAGTCACACATGATGAGAGGTCCAGAAACATCTTTGGGGCCACGGATGGCTTTTGTAAAGTCTATTTGGGGAAATAGCAAATATAATCTACCATGTCCTAAAATGTAACAGATTATCTCTATGGGACCGATAGAAATATCTAGATGTACCCTGTCAACAGCCAGTTATTTTAATTTACTTAAGGGAAATCAAGTGAATAAAAGACTATATAGTTCAAGAAATTTTATTCTGATACCTATATAAAAAGTTTACCTGAGTGGATGAAGACATTTGCATGAAATTGCACCTAGTGCAGCACTTGATATTTATAACTCTCCCTAAACTATTGCATTGCATTTTTTCCATTTTCTTGGCACTCCTTTAGAAATGTTCCCAAGTCTCATTTTTTCACCCACTTCAGCCATGGGACCCTTTTTCATAATACTGATGTAAAGACATTTGTGTTACTGTTTATAAATTAAAATTGTAAATAAACTGGTACAGTTTGCTCAAAACTTTGTTCTTAAAGACAATGTCTCTTGTCTTTTTCCCTATTTGTAAATATCTAGATACTATGCAATTAGAAAATTGAAAACTTTTTTTAAAAAAGGTTTTGGTAGCATACATTAGTTGTACGAGAGGGTGAAGGTACTGTGACCATTTCCATACATGCATTCAAATACCCCTCCCTTCAACCTTACCCCACCTCTTACTGTCCTTCATCCTCCTTCCTGAAGGAGGATGAGGAATAGTGACCAGGTCCTGAGTTCAAGCCAGAGTACTGTCACCCACATACATGAAAGAAATGAAAGACCTTAAACAATGGATCACATCATGTTAGTGATTTGGAAAACAAAGTGTTGGTTGCTTCTACCCCACTCAGCTACAGATTTAATTCCAATAGCAGTTATGAGATGTTGTATGTGTGTACTCAGGACCTGAGAGTTGTTTTTTTTTCTCTCAAGATTGGTGCTCTGCCACTTGAACCACAGTTGTATTTCCGACTCTTTGCTGGTAATTGTGGATAAGAGTCTCACAGTTTTCTGCCCCAGCTGGCTTTAAACCATTATCCTCAGATCTCAGCCTCCTGAGTAGCTAGGATTTACAGGCATGAACCACCATCACCTAGCAAAATATTTTTATTTTTACCAATTATTTTCAACTCAATTGAATATTCTTATAGTAACCTCTAAATATTTCAAACAGGCCTGGCACACACATTTCCTAAGAGTAATGATACATTCTGCCCTAATCACAATACCACAAAAAATCAAAGTGTAATTGTCTCCCAATGTTTTTATACTATTCCTTAAAACCGCAATGTTTGAGAATTAAAAAGGAAGTTTACAATCCACTGAAGGATTTTAAAAAAATTTTCTTTAGGGGCTGGGAAGGTGGCTCAGTGGTAGAGCGCTTGCCTTGCATGCTCAAGGCCCTGGGTTCGATTCCTCAGCACCACATAAGCAAAAAGAAAAAGCCAGAAGTGGTGCTGTGGCTCAAGTGGTAGAGCGCTAGCCTTGAGCTGAAGAGCTGAGGGACAGCGCCCAGGCCCAGAGTTCAGGCCCCACGACCGGACCCAAAAAAAAAATTTTTTTTTTTCTTTATTGAGATTGATTACATACATTTCTCAATATTGTCAAACATTTAACCTTCAAAAGGTGAGTTGACATTTATCATCGTCTAAAATGTTTGTGAATTTTGTGAGCTTTGACTATGCATCTATTTCTTCCACGTCTTTCCTTTTGTTGTTCCCTCTTTCTCATTCCCTCCCTCCCATCGCTGCCCCTTGAGTAGCTTAGTTCACTTGCATCAATGTCCAGTGCAGCTGATGGACCACTCTGCTGTATTGTATCACCTGTTTCCTTCTGATTCTGTGCCCACCCCCTAGCTTTCCTCATCTGTGCACATGTATACACCATATGTGGGGTCAAAAACATGGAGTCATCTAAAAACAATAAGACAAATTAAGAGGTCCTTTGTTTCTTATATCTCTTGCATTTTGACTTTAACATCTGCCTATCAGGGAGACCATGTGCCGTTTGTCTCTGATCTTGGCTTATTTCACTCAACATGATTTGTTCTAGTTCCATCCATTTCCCCGCGATTGCCATTATTTTGTCCTTTCTAATGGCTGTGTGAGATATTCCATTGTATACAGGCACCACAATATATGGATCCATTCATCTGTAGTGGGGCAGCTGGGTGGTTTCCCACATAAGGATTTTTATCCGCAAATCTGCCAAAGACACAAAACGCCTACAAAAATTAGCAATCAAATATAAATGCTGAAAAAAGGATAATTAGCATTGATTTGTTGAAATGATTGTTTCACTCTCACCATCTCTCACTCATCCTCTCTTTAAATAGTAGGCTTGTGTTGGTCAGACCAGCTACCCACCTCTCAACACCCGCCCCCTCCCCTCTGACTCCAGCCAATCAGCATCACAACTCTTGCTCTGGCCACCGAGTGAACCAATAGCAAGAAGCTCATTCCTCTGTTCTCGTGTTTTCCCGCCCCGGAGAACCTGTTTTGTAAACATTTACAAGTATACTCTGGTGACTGACGCTGCTCTTTCTTTGCCCCTTGCCTTAGGTGACATTCTGCTTTCAGAATGTCGTTTTTTAGTGCCGACAGCAGTCCATTACAACTTGGGGTGGGGGGGGGGGCAGGGAGGGAGGATGAAGCTCAATGTGAAGCCCCTGCTTAGCATAGACAGAGTGCTGCGGTTCGAGCCCCAGCACCACAAACCACAAAGGCATCCCTTTCCCCACCGCAACAGTGGAGACAGGATCTGAGGCAGGAAGACAGGCCTGCCCTCCCGCAGACCTTGGGCCCCAGCAGCGGGCTAGCGGGGGACCTGGCTGGGGGGGCGGGCCCTGGCGCGGGGCGGGGCCTGGGCGTGGGGCGGGGCCCGGGCTGGGGGCGGGCCCTGGCGTTTGGCTAGGCCCTGACGTGTGGTGGGGACCCGGCTGGGGTCGGGCCCGGGCGTGAGGCGAGGCCCGGGCTGGGGGGCGGGGCCCTGGCGTGGGGCGGGGCCCGGGCTGGAGGCGGGGCCCGGGCTGGGGGGCGGGGCCCTGGCGTGGGGCGGGGCCCGGGTTGGAGGCGGGGCCCTGGCGTGGGGCGGGCCCCAGGCTGGGGGCGGGCCCGGGCGTGGCCCCGGCTGGGGGCGGGGCCCTGGCGGGGGGCGGGGCCCGGGCAGGCACGCCCGCTGGGCCTTGGCCCCACCCCTCGCACGCAGCCACTCGCCGGGAGTCTGCGCCTTTCGTCACCTTCGATGTGGCTTCCGCGAGGAGCCATGGCTAGTAAGTAGCGTCGTCTGACCCCCGCAGCCGCCCTCTGCGGGCAGCGGAGGGGGGAGCGGGGAAATTATGGCGAGCTCCAGCGGAGACCCGCGGTCTCAGCTCCGAGCGCCCCGCATCCCCGCCGCCTTGTAGGTCACAGTGTGGACGGGTGCGGGGAGGGCGGCGCGGGCTGCGCGGCGGCGTCCGGAAGGCTCTGAGGTGGCCCCGCGCCGCAGGGATTCCAGGTTTCCGGCCGACCCGGGAGCGCGCGGGGCCTGGGAGCCCCGCCGCTGCCGCCGCCCCCACCCCCCCTCCTGCCTGGCCTCGCGGCGCGCGCGCGTGTGTGCGCGTGCGCGCGCCTCCCGGTGGTTACGCGCACCGGCGCCCACGCAGACCCCATGCCGTCCGCGCTCCCGGGGAGCTCTCCACAGCCCTGCTCCCACTGCCTTTCGAGTAACGTCGGCAGCTCGGAGGCTGAGCACTCTCGGGGCTCACCTGGAGCCAGTGTCGGTCAGTTCGTAACCCGTGCACCGGCCCGTTAGGTTGGCGGTGCCCGGGTCGAACTGCGAGCTCTCTCCGAGGTCAGCCGTCCGGTCTGACCCCTGCTTTGTCGTCCGCCCAGCTTTCCGCCTGGCCCTCGTCCAGCTTCGCGTCTCCTCCGTCAAGTCCGACAACGTCACCCGCGCGTGTGCACTCGTCCGGGAGGCCGCCAAACAGGGAGCCAAAATCGTCTCCCTGCCGGTGAGTACGGGTTGCTGAGACGCAGCTGAACGCGGTCCTTGTTCCGGTTGTCCTTAGGTCCTCCAGCCGTGCCTTCGGAGCCCCAGTGTTGTTCCATGTTTGTCACGAAGTCATTAGCAAGGGCCTTTGTCGTAGGATGCGCCAACGTGGCTGCAGAGCTTTAGGTCTGTAGGATCTGTTCTCTTCTGACTTAGGTAGTGCTTGTGTGCTGACTTCGTGCCTTCTATAATTATGCTTTGAGGACCAGAACATGTTGGAGTTAGCACTCAACCATCAGCCTTTTCTGAGAACTTTTTGAGAGCCTGTAGCTTCCAGCTGAAGGTTATCCCACACTTAGATGTCTGAAAGTACTGAGGCCCAGACAGGGTTCCCCAGAAGTAGAGAACTTTGTGTATCATCTTCTCTAAGGTCCTTATGAGGGTCAGTGACTGTGGCTGTTCCACCACTTCCTGTAGCCGTGGAAGGAGACAGTTCTTTGCAAATTTTCAGAGCTCCCCTGTCTTTTAGCCAGGCTTTAGCCCAGAGCAAATGTGGCCAGCAAGAATGGTTAACACATGAGCTCCAGATCTATTAGCACCAGTCATGGAGTTCACCTGCACTTGTTACCTAATCATGGTATCTTACTGGTTTCTGTTGCTGAGAGTGAAAGCAGTTGACTTCTGTGTATGCTTGCTTCTGTGACTGACTTGCATCTTGTGCAAGCTGGGGATCTCCCCGCTTGAGATTCCTAGCACATGCTTGGTGTGTGGACCATGTTATTCAATGCAAAGTAAGTAGATCTGGATTTTGAAATTTAATAACGTTGGCCTTTTTTCTCCATGTCAATTGTTGAAGACAGCCAGCCCCCTACACCACTCCCCATTAATGAGAAACTTTGTAAGATCAGAATGATAGAGTTAAAGGAGATTTAGAAACAGCTTGTTTCAGAACTCTGTGTGTGTGGGTGTGTGTACTATATATATACATATATGTATATATAATATTTTATTGCTTGCCTAGTAAATAATATGGCTTTGAACTAAAAAAGTTCATCCCAATACCCAGCCATGTGAGTAAGCCCAATTCATAATGGAGGCCAAATACCCAAGCTTGGGAACCCATTGTTCAGCCAGACTTAGTCTTGACATCAACCAAGACATGATAGAGCTCACATGACTCTTCCTGTAGCCCAACATGGGTCAGTTGCCTAGTCTCCTTTAGGCCATAGGCTCTTTAGCTCTGGGGTTTTTTCTTGGCTGTGTTTTACCCATTCAAAGGAGCACATATGTGGAAATAGCACTTGCCTTCTTTCCACAGAACTTTACAGTGGATTGGATGGAATGTTGGTTCCCCCTCTTTTTTTTCTGCCTATATCATTCTAGGAGTGCTTTAATTCTCCATATGGCACGAAATATTTTCCTGAATATGCAGAGAAAATTCCTGGTGAATCTACACAGAAGCTTTCTGAAGTAGCAAAAGAATGCAACATATATCTCATTGGAGGTAATTCCTTCCATGTGGAATAATGTCCTAAGCATTAAAACATTTCAATGATTTTTTTATTACTGTGCAACATAATTCAGCTTGAGAAAAATGAGTTTTCTAAACAGACTGTCACATGCCTATAATCCTACCTCCTAGGAGGCTGAGACAAGAGGGTTGCGAGTTTTAACTCAGCCTGGGCTATATAATAAAACTCTTATCTCAAAAAAAAAAAAGTTCAATGTGATTATGAAGAGGAAATTTCTATGAGGTTAACCCAATGCACACAAAAGACACCTACATGCTTTTATGCAAAATTATTTATGTAAAGTAATACTAAATATTATAGAAAGACGTCAGGCTAATATTGATGAGCCAGGCATTGCATCTGTCTGCAGTCTTAGCTATTGAGGAAGCTGCCATCTAAGGATTTCTGTTTGAAGCCAGTATGAACAGGAAAATCCTTGGGGCTCTTTTTTTTTTTTTTTTTGGTCGGTCATGGGGCCTGAACTCTGGGCCTGGGCACTGTCCCTCAACTCTTCAGCTCAAGGCTAGCGCTCTACCACTTGAGCCACAGCGCCAACTTCTGGCTTTTTCTACTTATGTGGTACTGAGGAATTGAACCCAGGGTCTCATGCAGGGGAGGCAAACACTCTACCACTGAGCCACCTTCCCAGCCCCTCCCTGGGACTCTTATCCTAATTAATCCCCTAAAAGCCAGAAGTGGAGCTGTGGCTCAAGTGTTAGAGCACTAGCCTTGAACAAAAGAAGGTCAGAGATAGCACCTAGAGTTCAGTTCCCAGGGCCAGCACAAACACAAACCCTACTATTGATGATTTTCCTTAGGGAAGGAGTAGAAAAGCAGGAGAGATAGAAATGTGTATCTAAGCCAGGTGCTAGTAGTTAATGCCATCCTACTTACTTGAGAGGCTGAGATCTGAGGATCTTGGTTCAAAGCCACCCTGGGAAGGAAATTCTGTAAGGTTCTTTTCTTCAGTTAACCACCAGAAAACCAGAAGTGGTGCTGTGTCTCAAAGTGGTAGAGTGCTAGCCTTGAGCACAAAGATCTCAGGAATAGCAACCAGGCCTTGAGTTTAAGCCCCACAACCAACAACAACAAAACAAAAAACAACAAAAAAGAAATGTGCATCTATAGAATTCATTGTTACTACCTACATAAAAGCAGCTTTATTCTTGTGACTTTGAAATGCACTTTAGAATACAGTAAATCTGTATTCAGTAAATATAACAAAATTATGTCTGTTAAGACTGGAAATAAGAGTTGGCAAAACAAGAAACATCTAGATGGATGAGCATTTACTTATACAGACACCTGTCACATGACATCTTACCTTGAGGCTTTGGGGGATGTGGTATTTTGTTACGTTTGATTTGTTGAGGCAGGGGTAATTGGCGCTTGAACTCAGGGCTTCTTGCTCTCACTTGGCTTTTTTTTTTTTTAATTATAGCTGACACTCTGCCCTTGAGCTGTGCCTCTACGTTTGACTAATTTTAATTTTTATTGTTATTATAAAGATGATGTACAGGGGGGTTACAGTTTCATAAGTCAGGTAAAGAGCACATTTCTTTTTGGACAATGTCATCCCTTTCTCTTCCCAGTTTTTCCTTCCTGTCCCCATCTACAAGTTGTGTAGCTCATTTTCTGCACAGGGTCTATGAATACCACGGCTGCATTTGTACTTCTGACTTTTTGCTAGTTAATAGGAGGTAAGATTCTTCTTGGATTTTTTTTTCTACCCCAGCTGACTTCAGACCTCAATCCTCAGATCTCAGCCTCCTGAGTAGCTAGGTGCCACTGGCATCCAACTTGGGATATAGTTTTGTTGTAGAATGTAGTGAATTTAAGTTGTCAGTAAGAAATTGTTTTACTCTGTCCTTTATTTTTTATTGTTATTATAAAGGTGATGTACAAAGGGATTACAGAGTTACATAAGTCAAGTAATGAGTACATTTCTTTTTGTGATCCCTTCCCTTCCCTCCTCCTTCCCAGTTTATCCATCCCATCCCCACCCTATTTTCTTTCAAACTTGACTTTTTGGCATCTAATCTAATTATATTTTGTCAGCACTTTGGAGTTTATCTCTGAATGATATAATTAAGAAAAAAATGCTTAAATAATGCTTAGAATAAACTTCATTATCGGCCCCAAATGACAGTTTGCTGGGCTTTTATCTAGTAATTACAGAAATTTGCTACATTCTTTTTTTTCTTACTGTTTTGTGTGCTTATATATGATATATATCTTCTCTAATTGAAAGGCTCCATCCCTGAAGAGGATTCTGGGAAATTATATAACACCTGTGCTGTATTTGGGCCTGATGGAACTTTGCTAGTAAAGCACAGGAAGGTAAGAAGGGATATGAAAGTATTGTTCCTTTTAAGAATTTGCTGTGAAGTCTCCTAGCCCCTCTTTCCATTTTATTTTATTAGCTGATATTTGATAATACAGCGGTCCCTCATATCATAGGTTTCGACTGAATGGCACAAATGTCTGTGCTTGGTCACTTGCGTATTTCTGTAAATGAAGATACTTGTCACAGTTACTCCATGTTTCCTATCTGGATTTTTGTTTGCCTGGAATATCTTTTCTCTTTTCCCTTCTCATTTTTCCCTCTCCTTCCCATTTGCTTCCTCTTTCTCCTCCCCTTCCCTCTCCTCCTCTCTTCCCCCTTTTCCTTCCCTCCCCCCTCTACTCTCCATTCTCCCTCTCCTTCCCTCCCTCCTCTCATCTCCCCTTCCCCTTCCATTCCCTTTCCCCTTTTCCCCTTCTTCCCCCTCTGCTCCCTTTCACTCTCTCCTTTCCCTTTCTTTTCCCTTCTGTCCCTTCTGCTTTCCTTTCCTCACTTTTCCTTCCCTCCTTTTCCCTCCCCTTCTCTTCTTTCCTCCCATCCCTTCCCCTCCCCTTTTCTTCCTCCCTTCCCTTTCCTCTCATCCCCTCCTCTCCTCCCCTCCCCTCTCTTCTTCTTCCTTTCCCTCCTCTACCCCCTTTTTTGCTTTACTTATCATTTGAAAACTATCTTGTATTTATGTCTGAGTTTTCTTACACTATAATCTTCCTAATTACACTTTCTACAAGCTGAAATGATAGGTGTATGATGTCGTGCTAGTTTTTATTGGTGTCAGCCTTTATTGGAGGCTGAAGTGGCCTGGAACTGAATTGTGATCCTCCCAATCTCCACCTTCCAAATAGCTAGTAGTATGGGGGTGAGCCACCCATGAGATAAAATTAAAGAGCTGATGGTGGCTTTTGTATTATTGTTCCTCCCCTCCTTTAATGTCTTTGTTGGATTTTGAATCCAGGTCCTTGTGCATTGTAGGCACTACTACATTGTATGTTCTATCTCTAACCACACTAACTTTTTTCTTTTGAGTTATTGTCCTGTAGATTATAATTTCTATCAATCTGTCCATCCATCTCCATACATCCTAAGTTATACTGCATCACTTCATGTGAAAATTAAAGACCTTTTTGGTCCTATAGCTTCCATTTTCCTACCCATCATTCTTTTTTTTTTTTTAATTTTTATTTTTTTTTATTGTAAAGCTACTATACAGAGAGTTACAGTTACATGAGTGAGGTTATGAGTACACTTCTTCTTGAACATTGTTACCCCCTCCATTGTTTTCCCCCTACCATCCCCTCCCTCCCTCCCTTCCCAGAGGTTCTTTTTTTTTTTTTTTGATTGTGATTAAATGATTACATAATTTCAAAGTCACAAGTTCATTCTAACTTCCCTGGAGCAAATTGTCTACCACAGTCTGTGATATATAACAGTGTTCAGATGTTATATACCATATTTGTGATCAGCAGCATGAGGATATTTAGTAGTGGTTCAACCAGATGAGCAGGAGTTCTTTGTTTCTTAAGTCCTGTTAGTTTTGTCGTATCACCTAACCTTTTGGATTTAGCATCCACTTATCAGGGAGACCATGTACCGTTTGTCTCTTCGTTCTTGGCTTACCTCGCTCAACATGATTCCTTCTAGCTCCATCCATTTCCCTGCAAATGCCATTATTTTGTCATTTCTAATGGCTGCATAATATTCCATTGTGTATAGATACCACAATTTTTGGATCCATTCATCTGTGGTGGGGCACCTAGGTTGTTTCCATATCCTAGCTATTGCGAACAGTGCTGCAATAAACATGGAGGTGCACGTGTCCTTGTATATTGGTTCCTGTTGTTCAGGGTAGATGCCTAGAAGTGGTATGACTGGGTCGTAAGGGAGGTCAATCTTTAGCTTTCTAAGGACCCTCCAGACTGCTTTCCAAAGTGGTTGTATAAGTGTACATTCCCACCAGCAGTGTAATAGGGTTCCTCTTTCTCCACATCCCCTCCAGCATTTGTCGTTGGCTGATTTGTGGATGTGGGACATTCTGACTGGGGTAAGGTGGTATCTCAGGGTTGTCTTTATTTGCATTTCCTTCACCACCAGGGATGATGAACATTTCCTCATGTGTTTCTTTGCCATTTTTATTTCTTCATTTGAGAAGTCCCTCTTTAGTTCCCTTGCCCATTTAGTAATTGGTTTGTTAGGTTTGGGAGGGATTAGTTTCTTGAGTTCCCTGTATATACAGGATGTTAACCCCTTGTCTGATATATTGCTGGTAAATATTTTTTCCCAATTAGTTGGTTGTCTTTCTAGCTTAGTTGCGATAGATTTAGCTGTGCAGAAGCTTTTTATTTTAAGGTAGTCCCATTTGTCGAGTCTCTCTCCAACTTGTTGTGACCCTGGGACTCTGTTCAGAAAGTTCCTTCCTGTGCCTATTAGTTCAAGTGTCTCTCCTACTCTGTCCTGCAGTAGTTTCAGAGATTCAGGTTTAATGTTAAGGTCTTTAATCCATTTTGAGTTGATGTTGGTGCATGGTGATAGGCTGGGGTCCACTTTTAGTTTTCTGCATGTGGCTGCCCAGTTTTCCCAGCACCAGCGGTTGGAGAGGCTGTGTTTCTTCCATTGTATGTCTTTGGCTCCTTTGTCGAATATCAGCTGGCTGTAGGCCTGTGGGTTTATATCTGGATCTTCTATTCTGTTCCATTGGTCTTCGGGTCTGTTTTTGTGCCAGTACCATGCTGTCTTTGTGATTATAGCTCTGTAGTAGAGTTTGAAGTTCGGCATGGATAGCCCTCCCATATTGTCTTTATCCCCTAGAATTGTTTTGGCTATTCTAGGTCTTTTGTTGTTCCATATAAATTTTTGGACTGTTTTCTGTATTTCAGTGATGTACGTCATTGGGATTTTAATAGGAATTGCATTGAATTTGTATATTAGTTTTGGAAGTATCACCATCTTTACTATATTAAGTCTGCCTATCCAGGAACATGGGAGGTCTTTCCATTTCCTAGTGTCTTCTGCAATTTCTTTCTTTAACTTTTTATAGTTCTCATTAAATAGTTCTTTTACATCTTTGGTTAGGTTAATTCCTAAATATTTTATTTTTTGGGAGGTTATTGTGAATGGGGTTGCTCCCTTTATTTCCCTCTCTTCCTGTGTGTTATCAGTGTATAGGAAGGCAACTGATTTTTGTGGGTTTATTTTGTATCCTGCTATTTTGCCGAAGTGACTTATGATTTCTAAAAGTTTGGGGATGGAGTTTTTGGGATCGTGGAGGTATAGTATCATGTCGTCTGCAAAAAGGGATAGTTTCACTTCTTCTTTCCCTATGCGGATCCCTTTAATGTCTTTTTCTTGCCTTATTGCCCTGGCTAAGGGTTCTAGGACTATGTTGAAGAGGAGTGGAGACAGTGGACATCCTTGCCTTGTTCCTGTTTTTAGGAGGATTGGTTGTAGCTTTTCCCCATTAAATATAATATTGGCTATTGGTCTGTCATAAATGGCTTTTATTGTTTTTAGAAATGTTCCTTCCTATTTTCTCCAGAGCTTTTAGCATGAATGAATGTTGAATTTTATCAAAGGCCTTTTCTGCATCTGTGGCGATAATCATGTGATTCTTGACCTTGGCTCTGTTGATATGCTGGATTACATTTATTGACTTACGTATGTTAAACCATCCCTGTGTCTCTGGGATGAAGCCTACCTGATCATAGTGTATTATTTTTTTTATGTGTTTCTGGATTCTGTTAGCTAGAATCTTGTTAAGGATCTTTGCATCTGTGTTCATCAAGGAGATTGGCCTGTAATTCTCCTTTTTGGTTGGGTCTTTGCCTGGTTTGGGGATGAGTGTGATATTGGCTTCGTAGAATGAGTTTGGGATAGCTCCCTCCTTCTCTGTTTCTCTGAAGAGCTTGAGGAGTATGGGTATTAGTTCTTCTTTAAAGGTCTTATAGAATTCTTCTGTGAATCCATCTGGTCCTGGGCTTTTTTTTGTTGGAAGACTTTTGATAGCTTCCTGTATCTCATTATAGGATATTGGCTTATTTAATTGGTTAACTTCTTCTTTGCTCAGTTTGGGTAACTTGTATTTCTCTAAAAATGCATCCATTTCCGCCAGATTTTCTTCCTTTAGAGAGTATAGCTTTTGAAAGTAGTCTGTTAGAATTGTTTGGATATCTTGGGTACGTGTTGTGATGTTTCCCGTGGCATCCCTAATCCTATTAATATGGGTTTCCTCTCCTTTTTTTAATTAATCTTGCCAACGGGCCATCAATTTTGTTTATTTTTTCAAAGAACCAGCTTTTTGTTTGGTTTATTTTGGTTATGGTTTTCTGATTTTCTAATTGGTTAATCTCTGCTCTCAATTTGGTTATCTGGCTTCGTCTAGTAGCTTTAGGTCCCATTTTTTCTTGTTTTTCTAGCTGTTTTAGTTGCAACATGAGATTATTTACTTGGTCTGTCTCCATTCTCTTGATGTCTACCCATCATTCTTTACACTGTAATTACAATATGTTTCATGTATATATAAGTTATGTGTAGCAGCCATTTTTAATTTAGTTGTAAGTACTTTAAATAGTTTTAACTCAAATTCAGTCATTATATGTGTTGAAAGTATTTTAAATTAAGAAGAAAAAGATTTTAATGTTTACTCAAATTTTTACCATTTCTGGTATTTTCTTTTCCCTATTGACAATTCTCTTCTGTCTGGTGTCTATTCATTTAGACAGAAAGATTGCTTTTAGCATTTTTGTAATGAGATTATGAACTCTATTTATATTTGCTTATAAAGATAAGCACTTTGTCTTCAGTTTTTTGTTTTTTTTTGTGTGTGTTTTTTTGTTGTTGTTGTTGGTTGTGGAGCTTGAACTCTGGGCCTGGACACTGTCCCTCAACTCTTCAGCTCAAGGCTAGTGCTCTACCACTTGAGCCACAGCGCCACTTGCTTATGTGGTACTGAGGAATTGAGCCCAGGGCCTCATCATGAATGCAAGGCAAGCGCTCTACCACTGAGCCACCTTCTCAGCCTGTCTTCAGTTATTTTGGTTTTTTTTTGGGGGGGGGAGGGGGCGGGGTTATGGGGCTTGAACTCAGGGCCTGGACACTGTCCCTGAGCCTTTTTGTGCTCAAGGATAGCTCTACCACTTGAGCCACAGTGCCACTTCTGGCCTTTTCTGAGTAGTTTATTGGAGATGAGAGTCTCATGGACTTTGCTGCTCAAGCTGGCTTTCAGCTGCAATCCTCAGAGCTCCATCTCCTAAGTAGTCAGGATATTAGGTGTGAGCCACCAGTGCCTAGCTGAGCACAGTTCTTTTTAGTGTATCTCCTCAGTCCTGAGTTTACTGGTTCATGAATATGGAATATGCTCCTCTATTGATTAGGCTTTATTTATTTTGTCTAAGTTTCTTTTATATGGATACAGTCTTATGCGCGTCAGATTTATTTCCTCACTGGTACTTTTATCTTTCATATTAGTGTATTATTCTATAAAGGGGTTTTATTATGCTATTTTCATATATTCATATAATGTACTTTGATCAGATTCACCCCATTACTCTTCCTTATAGTCCTCCCCCTTCTTAAGACAGTTTTAATAGGTTTTGTTATCTTACTATCATATGAAGCGTTTCTATCAGAATCACTTCCCTATCGCCCTCTTCCCTCCCCACTCCCTCTCATTACCAACCTTTAATAGTGTCCTCACCTTCATTTTTACTCATGTCATTCTTTTTTTTTTCTTGTCTGGATAGTAAACAGAATATGTGAAGCCAGGCGCCTGTGGCTCAGGCCTGTAATCCTAGCTATTCAGAAGGCTGAGATCTGAGGATCGCAGTTCAAAGCCAGTCTGGGCAGGAAGTCCGTGATACTCTGATCTGCAATGAACCACCAGAAAACCGGAAGTGGCTTTGTCGCTCAAGTGATAGAGCACTAGCCTTGAGCTGAAGAGCTCAGGCACAGCACCCAGGTTGAGTTCAAGCCCCATGACCAACAAAAACAAAAACAAAAAAGAGAATATGTGATATTTGTCATTGTCAATCTGGCTTATTTCATTTAACATGGCCATGTCCGGTTCTATCAATTTCCCTGAAAACAACCTAATTGCATTCATCTTCAGTGCTACTCATTCCCTATACCTCTTGCCAATTTTGGGGTTCTGAGATGTCTTCATTTAGCATTTACAGTGAGTCAAAATACCAACACATTCACTTGTGGGCAGGAACTGGAGGGAAAACTGGGGAAAGTGAAGGAAGGGGTACATTGTCAAAAAAAGAAATGTGCTCATTACCTGACTCATAAAAAGATAACCCCTCTGTACAACACTTTAATAATAAGGGTAAAAATATATTAAAAAATCCCAGCACATTAATTATGTTCCATTAAAACTGTGGATACTGATTTACATACCATACCTGGGCTCTGGTGACTCATGCCTGTAATCCTAGCTACTCAGGAGGCTGAGGTCTGAGGATCATGGTTCAAAGCCAGCCTGTGCAGGAAAGTCCTTGAGACTCTTTTCAATAAACCACCAGAAAACTGGACCTGGTGCTGTAGCTCAAGTAGTAGAGTGCTAGCCTTGAGCTGAAGAGCTGAGGGATAGTGCCCAGGCCCAGAGTTCAAGCCCCACAACCAACCAAAAAAAAAAAAAGTTAGAACTTGCAGAATCATTTTCCCAGTTTCCTGTAGAATTCCTTTTTTCTTTTTTTTTCACTTATCAGCCAGCTTGTGGGTGCACATTGGGCAAATTATGGGTACTGTTTATACCATTGATCTTGGAGGATTTCCATATCTGACAGGGGAAAGATGTCTGTTATTACAGCTGTGAACTCTGCTAGAGAGGAGATAACCAAACCCATTATTTGTGATGCAGATCCACCTGTTTGACATTGATGTTCCTGGGAAAATTACATTTCAAGAATCTAAAACATTGAGTCCTGGTGATAGTTTCTCCACGTTTGATACTCGTATGTACCAGATTAGTTTGCCTCTTTCAGTAATCCCAGAAAAGAGGAGAGGGTATTCCTTTCTTACTCTTCTATGTCTGTCTCCAACTTCTTCTTGGAAGTGAGGATGACAGAGAACAGTCAGGAAGAGGTCTGGAAAGTTCAGGTTGGATGGAGATCTAAAGATTTTGTTCTTCCATTTGGCCATCGCCTTCTGTGCTAACCTGCAGAGAATGCCTGTTTGGCCACAGTTCAACACATTCCACATTAACAGTAAGCCTTCAGCTAGAGTGAATTCCTCAAATCTACTCAAATGTAAACTGTGTCTTTGAGATGAAATTCAAGTATGGAAGAACTTAGGCTGGGCGCTCGTGGCTCATGCCTATAATCCTAGTACTCAGAAGGTTGAGATCTGAGGATCACAGTTCAAAGCCAGCCAGGCAGAAAAGTCCATGAAACGCTGATCTCCAATAAACCACCAGAAAACCAGAAGTGGTGCTGTGGCTCAAGTGGTAGAGCGCTAGCCTTGAGCTGAAGAGCTCAGGGACAGTACCCAGGCCCAGAGTTCAAGGGCCCCCCTACCAAAAAAAAAAAAGAACTTAGAAATTTTCTCCATTCAGGGCTCCTGTGTTAATTGTCCCTTCCCAGTGTTTGTGATCATGGAGGCTTGATATTACCCTGCCATATCATAGCACAGGAAGCTAACCTCTCACTTGTACATTTTCTGTTTGAAAACAGCTTACTGCAAAGTGGGCCTGGGCATCTGCTATGACATGCGTTTTGCAGAGCTTGCGCAAATCTACGCACAGAGAGGTGAGATGGTGTGGGTCAGGTGACAGAGGTGCTTCCAGTCTGGTCTCTGTGTGTGGGAGGAGACTCAAGCACAGGCTTCACATAAAATGCACAACATGCACAGAAAAGTTGGACATAGCGTCTCACTATCTCCATGTCTAGCCTGTTCACCTCTGTTTGGCTAATCCAACTTCTGCTGTGTAGAAGTGTTAGTTCTGAGGGTTGTATTTCTGTGTGTGTGTGTGTGTTGGGGGAGGGGGGCTCAATTTAACACACATCATGTAGTTAAGATAGGAATCGTGCTCCTAAATGTTTGCTGTACCTTTAGTTCTAGTTTTTGTGCCACTTCTGGGGCTTGAACTCAGGGTCAGGAGTGGTCCCTGAGCTTTTTCCCCTCGAGGCTGAAGCTTTACCACCTGACTCATATCTCCACTTCTAGATTTTTGCTGGGTAATTGGAGATATGAGTCTCTGGGATTTATCTTGTTAGGCTGGCTTGGAACCACGAATCTCAGATCTCAGCCTCCTGAGTAGTTGAGATTACAGGTGTGAACCACCAATTCTGTTCTTTTTGACTTCCTTTTGAACTCTTCTATTACTGGATTTGGAGTCTCAGCAGAAGTGAAGCAAGGTTGTCTCTTGGATATCTGTGCTAAGATATCTAATTAGTAATATTTTGTATGCCAAGCCATCAGAAGATCTGTGTTCTAGTACCAACTCTTTCCATTAACTGACACAATACTTTGAAACTAGTCAATCTCAGAAGCAGTGTAGTTTTTGGTTTCCAAGTAGGAATGGTGTGAGGAATAATAGAGAACTCATAAAGACCTTTGTTGGCACTCAACACATGTTAGCACCCTTCCTACACTAGCTCAGCTGTGGGTAAAGTGAGGCAGTGAGGATGGTTTGGGTGCAGCTCAGCAGAAGGTGGAGACACACAGGCTCTTCACAGGCACTGCCAGCCCATTTCCGCAAGTGCTAGAAACTCTTCACTCTGTTTCAGTTGGAATCCTCACAGTGTGTGTTTCATGACCTGGGACGCTGACCATATCACACTGAGAAAACTTTGACAGTTCTCTACAGTTTTTGTTGGTTGTATGTTCAACGCATATATCTCTCAAAGAAGTCAGAGCTGTATCTGACTAGACTGACATCGTTTTTTTGTTGTTGTTGTTTGTTTGTTTTTTGTTTTTTTTTTCCATTGTGGGCTTGAACTCTAGGCTCATTTGCTGTCCCTGTGCTCTTCACCTCTAGGCAAGCACTCTACCTCCTGAGCCACAGCTCTACTTCTGGTTTTCTAGTGGTTTATTGGAGATAAAAGTCTCACACACTTTCCTGCTTGGGCCGGCTTTGAACCGTGATCCTCAGATCTCAGCCTCCTGAGTAGCTAGTATTACAGGCATGAGCCACTGGTGACCGGCTGATTGACATCTTTTTGTACTTAGAAAGGGTTAAGTTAGGTTAGGGCCTGGTATCCACTGTTGTTTGGCTTTTCACCCCCAAGGCTGCCAGCTGTTAGTGTATCCTGGAGCTTTCAATTTGACCACGGGACCAGCCCACTGGGAGCTGCTTCAACGAGGCCGGTAAGAAAGGAACCAAGCTTCTCAATGTTGCTTCTTTGTGGAAAGGTTTTTAGTGTGGTGAAAGTACCAAAGTGGAAACGTGCAGTGCTAGGATCCAGCGACAGGGCGGGATGAGTCTGGAGGAAGGGCTGCTGCTGAGCTCACCCTGTCAGAGGCCATGGACATCTCATCAAGGATTTTTAAGGACTGGGGTTTTTGCATTTTCCAGAAAATTGAGCACTGGTCGATTAGGTAGTGATTGTATTTTTCAATGATTAAATTTGAATTGGTCTCTCTCTTACTCTCTTTCCTTTGGTGGTTGTGGGATTTAAACATAGAACCCAGTGAGAGCAATGCTAAATGAGCTCATTTCCTACTCCAGATTAGTTTCCTTTAGGACAATTGCCAGTAACTTTTACAGAGAAATTGCGTGTGGATGGTGTGTGCATGTGTGCATGCATGCATGCACGCACCAGTACTGTGGCTTGAACTTCGGGGCCTTGTGTTCTTGCCTAGCTTTTTTTGCTCAAGATATGAGACACGGTATTAGACATAAGAGTATCTCAGATTCAGGGCTAGGAATTTGGCTCAGTGGTAGAGTGCTTGCCTAGCATGCATGAAGACCTGGGTTCAATTCCTCAGTACCACATAAACAGATAAAGCCGGAAGTAGAGCTATGGCTCAAGTGGTAGAGTGCTAGCCTTGAGCAAAAGAAGCTCAGGGACAGTGCCCAGGCCCTGAGTTCAATCTCCAGGACTTGCAAAAAAAAAAAAAAAAAAGAGTCAGATTTATCTGCATGTGCTAGCTGATCCTCAGATGAGAAATGGTAAAATTGTAGTTGGGAGCTGCTTGTATCAGGTGCTGAGCTTATATCAGTCTCCAAAGCCAAGAAAAGAAAAACAAGACTTACATTGAAAGACTGATGGTTTCAGTGCAGCTGACTGCCATTCCCATTGGGTGCTACCGCTCCGTCTTCTACTCTATCTTCCTAGTCCTGGGGATAATCTTACTCTGCCCAGAAACTCATGATAAGCCCTTGTTCTTCTCAACTGCAGCACAAGAGCCTTTCACAAGCATCTCTGACATGTCATAGTTGTTTATTCCTTAGCTCGCTAAGTCTCAATGGTAATGAAGGTGAAATAGCAGAAGAGGGTAACATGGAAAGGAAAAAACTGTGTGTGTGTGTGAGAGAGAGAGAGAGAGAGAGAGAGAGCGAGGGTGAGTATAAGTGCTCTCCAAACCATGAGTGCCTCCACAGATCATGGACATTAACATTTCTTTAAATGGGGAGCATAAATTAAATGGAGGAAATGTACCTGTGGAAAAATTTGTATTTCAAGCACACACAACAACCAAGCTTGCTTGCTTACTCAGCTGGTGCTCTACCACTTGTACCCAATTGGCCTTGAACTCATGAGCCTCCAGCCTCAGCCTCCTGAGTGCTGGGAGACATGCAAAACCATGCCTGGCTCTATTTGCTCATCTTAAAAATTGGTTATTTTTAGCTCACAGCCTATAATTCTAGCTACTCTGGAAACAGATCTGAAGATCATGGTTCAAAGCCAGCCTGGGCAGGAAAGTCCATGACTCTTATCTCCAACTAACCATGAGGAAAGATAAAAGTGGAACTGTGATTTAAGTGGTAGAATACCAGCCCTGAGTACAAAAGCTCAGGGACAGTGCCCAGACCGGCCAAAAAAAAAAAAAAAAAAAAGAGATTGAGACTGAGATTTTAAGTTACTGTGTATTATGGATGTTAATCCCTTGTTAGATAGACAGACAGTTTGGAAATATCTCGCCCATTCTGTATCTATAAAACAGATACATAGTGTGAGTTCTTCTTCCCTGACCACTGACTGCAGGGCTGTGGATAATCAGGTGTATGTGGCGACAGCCTCCCCGGCTCGGGATGACAGCGCCTCCTATGTGGCTTGGGGACACAGCACCATCGTGAATCCTTGGTGAGTATGTCTCAGTGGGTAAGCTCAGGGTTGCCTGGCTTTTACCTCCTACTTTTATTTTATATCCTGAAAGGCAGGAGAAGCTGCCGCTTGAAACCCATACAAGAAAGAATTCTTCCTTCTTGATGGATTGAATGCTAGGCATCATCCCTCTTCGCATGATTTTCATTGCCAGTCATACCTGCATAAACAAGGCACCTGAGATAGGTGGAAGGAGTAAAAGAAGCTCCTTAACTTTGGATTTTGGTTAAAATTTAGGCTGAGTGACTGTTCTAGGGCAAGAATGTGTTACAGGGCAAGGACTTTGTTCCCAATGTAATGATTAGAGGAATGGGGAGGATAGAGGTAGTAACGGAAACTATGACCCTGTGCTCTGAAAAGGGAAAGCATTTGTTTACTCAGTGAAGGCAACACGTAAGACTGCCCGTCATCCTTTGATGTACCAACCGCCCCTCCCCCACAATACTTTTGCACATGTGATCTCAGCCTAGACCCCTGTCTTTATTAAGCTTGATTTGTAGATAGTAGAATTGTTAGTTTGCCGGAACTATTATTTTAACCCAGGACTTTGTACTTGGCTTTATTCCATGCAACATCCACAAACATATACTGTCATTCTCTCCCACACCCACCTCTCCCCCCCTTCTCGGGTATTTCTGCAGTTTTAGAATAGACCAGTAACAAAAATGAGAAGGGTTAAATAGTACTGAACGGTCTTAAAGGGTCTGAAATTACAGCACTCAGCTCTATGAATGGCTACAAGGCCTTCAAACACATAACTAATAAGAGGATCTCAATGATTCTTCTATCTGTTCCAGGCTGTTGTAAGGCCTTCAAAGTCATTTGGTATGTATTAGAATAGACACACATGCTTCTAGTCAGCTCTTTCATAGGATTAGCATAGCATGTTTTCCTGAGTGATAATTTTGCATAGCCTGCAAATGATATAAATACTCAAATGGCCTTTTACATAAAAAAATTTTCGGAAGTGGTGCTGTGGCTCAAGTGGTAGAGTGCTTGCCTTGAGCTGAAGAGCTGAGGGACAGCGCTCAGGCCCAGAGTTCAAGCCCCACGACTGAACAAAAAGAAAGTTTTTTTTTTCCTACTCCTGCAGCATTGGAAGTCAGGAAGGGTTATGCTGGCTTGAAAACTTTCATGAATTTGCACCAAGTTCCTCAGTGTTCTTATTAGTGATAGGCTTCCTCTCTGTCTCTTGGGTGGTTCTGCTCCACAGATAGTTCTGTTAGTGATTGAGCCAGATGTTCTAACATAAAGTGATCTGCCTTATATTTCTTCTGTGGAAGTACGTTGATGTTGGGGTAGGTACCTGAGGATACATAGAGATCAATTTTTGAATGCTCTGATAAAGATTAGACAAGATCAGCAAAGGATTTTGTTAAATGGAATTCACAGTGTTATTTACAGCTCATCTCTGGTGGAGATATTTCTGGCTATCTAGTAAGTAGAGCTAGTGATTATGTCATTGTTATTGTTAGAAATGGCTTGGGATGTTGGGGGTGTTGTATAAGGAAACCATCTCAAAAAGAACTCAGCAGAGCGAAGTTTCCCTCCTTCCTGCCTGCCTGTCTTCCTTTTCTTTTCTCAGCAAGGCAAAGTTTATTTCTGCAGAGGGGTGTACCATCAGCCAAACATCTGGCAGGAAAGTGCACAGAGCAGGCAGGCTGTCCCCTTTTTGTCCCAAACACAGTAGGTCCTGCCCTCTCTACTCAAATTGGCCAAGCTCAAGTTCGCAATCTGCTGGCAATTGGCTGGTTAGAAGAAGATAAAATATATTTACATAAAGTGACATGAAGACTTTAAGAGTAACAGTACACCATTAATCTCAAAACAAACTCATACCCTCTGCTGTTTTCTGGAACAATCTACAGTGTGTCTTAATTCCATCTTGGAACACCAATTAAGGCAGAACCTTACATTTCAAAAGCCTTATTTGTCCCAAAGCATTTCCTCCTTTCCTTTCATTACTTGCTGATGTTGTCTTAGCAGAATCATCAACAAGAGTTAAGTCACCAGGCCAAAGCAGGGACTTTTAAGCAACCTATTTTAATAGAAAATATGGCTTTTCTCATATTCTGCACGGTGACTTTGGAGTTTCACCAGGGTCAAGAGTCTAAGTACTGGAAAACGGTTTCCAGGTTTCTCTAGAGTTTTGAAGGCATATTGTTCCCACCAGCATGGTACATGGATCCCCTTCAACTTCTCTCCACGCCCTATGCGTTGAAACCATTCTCCTAATCTGAAGCTGAAGCCAGTTAGCATAAAGACAGATTCCAGCTAATCTGAAGCTGAAGCCAGTTAGCATAAAGACAGATTCCAGCTAATCTGGGGCCTGTTTGGCTCAGCCACAGCACCCTCAGTTGAGGTACAAGCCTAGGCAGGTGGGAGTTGCAGATGAAGACTGACCTTGCTTTATTTAGCACGCTTGGGAGGAGACGGGATGGTGTTTCCAGTTGGCTCAGGTTTTACTCTATTCTCAGATGTTTATAGCAGTATGCAGTTTGCAAAACACTCTAGACTTTTCTCACTAAGTCTCACAGAGCTCAGATTTTGACTTTATAAAGCAGGAAATAGAGATTGCACATGGCTTGCCACAAGGTCACAGCTCTTTAAATGCCAGGACAGGAATTCACGTACCTACTGTTTTAGATCTCAGAATTGTTTTCTTTTGTGCTATGAACTGGTATAAAACATTGAATACTCAGCCTTGGTGGATCCATTCATTCTCCTTGAATCTTTCAGGGGAGAAGTCCTGGCCAAAGCTGGCACTGAAGAAATGATTCTGTTTTCTGATATAGGTAAGGTTTCCCCTGCTACTGTTGCTGCTGGTGAAGCTGAGGTGTATGATAGAGAGGACAGAAAGGGACCTCCAGCGAGAGTTTCCAGATTCTTGTTACCCTCAGAGAATAATTCAGAGGTGAGACAGTGTGGAAGAGGAAGGCAATTTTATTACAGAGTGAAAGGAAGTATACGTTTCTCAGGAGAGAGATGCTTTCCACACTTCTCTTCCTGTTATACTAGATCTTGGCATTGTGATAAAAGGTTACACAGGTCATTTTTTGTCAAGTCACTCTAGTGACAAAGGTGATTTCATTTTTTTCCTTATTTTTATCAATACTGGGACTCAAACCCAGAGCCTTGTGCTCTCCCTTTTCCTGCTCAGGGCCGGTGGGTGTTCTACCACTTGAGCCACACCTATAGCTGCTGGTTAATTGGAGATAAGAGTCTCTCAGACTTGTCGACCCAGGCTGGCTTTGAACCACAATCCTCAGATCTCAGCCTTCTGAGTAGCTACTATTTTAGATGTAAGCTAATATTCCAGGGTGGCTTGAAATATTTATAACATCAGGTTCAGGTGGGAAGATCAGACATGATGCCCATAGTTCCAACTGTTTATAATTCAAAACCTAGATCAAAGGTTGTTGATTCCACACATAAATAGATAGCTTCTGAGTTGCTGCTGTTTAACATTCCTTGTTTTTATTTCTTGCCCTTGATCCCATTAATCCTTCTCTCAAGTAGTTCAGGTCTGATGTCCTACTACTAAGGCCAGGTCCCAAGGCTATGAAACTTTAGTCTCTTGGGAGGAAAAGCTCTCTTTGCCTGTCCTTATTTATCCTTGACTAGATTCTAGTTTTGAGGCTAAGCCCTGAGTTTTGTTTGTTTGAAATGTTTCCAGAGAAGTGCCGGGTCATCTGCATTTGTAAGACCAGTGTTATTGAGTCGCTTGCTGAGATTTCTTACTTTTAGTTTGGGAAAGAAATCCTCCTGGTTAGCAAATTATTAATCACGCGCTTTCCTATTTTTGCAGACTTGAAGAAGTTGGCTGAAATACGTGAGCAAATACCCATTTTTAAACAGAAACGATCAGACCTTTATGCAGTGGAAACAAAAAAACCTTAAAGTTTGTTTCCAGCATGTCATTAAACAGGAAGATACTTATCTTTTTGATAATGTATTGAGGATGTTGGGAATTGAATGTAGGGTCTTTCGCAAACTACCTGTATCCCTCCACTATTGAATTTTTAAATAGACCTTAAATTTTTTTTCTCTTCCCCAGAGAATTCTATTGCTAGATCCTCAGCATGCTGACATTTTGCATGTTAGTTTGAAAAGATGGAGGCCAATGTCAAGGAGCTAAAAGAGGAAGCCTGGCTTTGAAACTTAAATTGCCATTCAACAAAGCACAATTCATGCAACAAAGCACAATTCATCTTGATCAGTGTCCTCTCTTGGCAGTCTCACCTGTCCCTCCCAGCCCAACCCTCCCCCACTTTTAATTTTGTAAAATATACATTGAATTTTTTGCTGCATTCTTCCTTTTTACTCTCTTCATCTACCGCCCTCCCCTTGACTCCACTCCAACCCTGTAAAGGCTGTTTATTGGTGTTTATCTTGTTGACCTAGGATTTTGCCTTTTTAAGGAATTAATGCTATTTGAGTTCTTTCCTGAACTTACCATATTTCAGTTAATGAATATACACTTGAAGCTTCTTTATAGTTGTTGCCTCAAGCAGTGGATAAAAATGCCATGTTGGTATCACAGGCTTGTTTCACCTAATACCAGCAGGTTTGTGTGAATCTCTTATCCCACTCATTGGAATTGGAATCTTTTATCTGGAGAACCTCCTCTGGAGCTATCAATTCTTTAAAAATACTGTATGGCTTTTGGATCCCCATCTACTGGGAATCTAGGTGTTAGGTCTTTGGTATTTGTCAGCAGTGACAGTCTCTTCCCTCCTCACAGCCTTTTCATATTTAAGGAGCTAATGAACTCCTCTCCTGGTCTTGGAGGAAAGGCTGGGTCAACAGTAAGCCCCATGGAAGAATGGCACTGGTGACGATGGAACAAACTAAGTAAAGATTTGCAGATTTTCCTGACTGGTTTGAGTGTCTCAGTCTCATCATTTTCTACTTTTCCTTAAGAACACTTTCTAGCTGCATAGATCAGAGCTATGTAGGCTAGTGGTTTTCAGACCTTTTGGTGTTCCACATTAAGATTTCTTAATGCATTATCTTTGATCAGTTACCCCTTTTCGTTATTTTCTCCCTCCCTTCCAATCATATATTTTTCCACTTTTGTTAAATTTTGCAGGGTATTCATTGAATTTATAACTGAATTCTTCCCACTTCCTCTATCCTTCTCCCTTTGGCCCCACCCCCTACACATCAAATCCCTTTATACAATTAAACACTTCAATGCATTTTCTCAAGTAGTGGCCTGGGAATTTATAACCAGCTGTCAAAAGAATTTAACATTCACTGATTACTATGGCTTTGGCCAGGAATCCACATGCCACTTCAAAAGAGTTGGGATCATATCCAATTAATTGCCTCTTGTGGCCTAATGCAGTACTGGTCCACTATACCACTGGCTATGAATGACAGATATTGACCATACTGGTACATAAAAATTATTACTAAAAGATACATGAAGTCCATTCTATTAATGAGCAAAGTAATCACCTGGCATTTAATCTCTGGAAAATAGCACCGTGTCCTCAGACCAAGTGTGGAAAACATGACTTTTCTTCTATGTACAATTTGGTGAAATCTGACATATATACTTCCATGTAGGAAATATAAACTTAAAAGCAAGTTTAGCAGCAAACTTGAGACAGGATTATTATACCCACTTCTTTCTCTAACCACCAATTTACCAAGGCAGTCTTTGGCTAAATAGGCCTCTTGTACATAAAGCAGTCTTAAGATGACAATCTGCTGATTTCTTCAAATACTATTTAAAGTGTGATTAAAGTAAAACTGCAATTTCCAGAAAGCAGAAAGTGCTGCATGAATTGCATTTTTAAAAATTTTTAAAAACTCGTTCTAAAAATGTACACATTACCTGATGTAACTGTAACCTCTCTATACAGCATCTTTACAAGAAAATAAAATTTTAAAAAGTTGTTTCCTGTTATATCACATTATCTTTTAAAAAGTTGTTTCCTGTTATATCACATTATCAAGGATTGTTTTAGGTATGCTTCTCAGAAGGTTGCATGTGGGTGAGGACTGTTATTCTCACTAGACCAGTATATAAAACTAGCTGCAAGGCCCAGATCTAATTGGAAACATTCTAGGCTCCTATGCAAGTATGGCTAAGACACAGGTAAAGAATGAAGTACAGCAACTTTCCTAGCTGTGGCGCCTCACTTCACGGCTGGAAGAATACTCTCAGAAGACACCATTCACCCCTGGTTTGGAGGCGTGGCTCAGTTGATAGAGCACAATCCATGAGTAAAAGCATCTCTGAGGGAGTTTAAATCCCAGTCTTGGAAAACAACACCCAATAAACCTGCTATGCTTACTTTGAGTCTGTAATACATAACTGAATTCACCCAACACTAAGTCAATGAGTAAACTACCTATCTTTCTGCCCAAAGAATAGATAAAAGAGTTGAATGTAATATTTATTTGGTGAATTTACATGTGAGGTCATTTACAAAAGAAAAGATACAGATGCAGCTTTCAGTGCAGTTTCAAATATTTTCAAAACAGGCAAGTCTGTGAGAATTTGGAATGATAGTACTGAATGGCACATGCTTCCTTTGCTTTTCTCTACTCAACCCCAGAAGGAAAGAAGAGATAGAAGAAAATGTCAGTGTTAATGTAAATACAGCCATGCAAATAAAAACCTTTTTCTTTAAAGCCAGACATTCAGAGATGTAGAATATTTTCTGTATTGAAGGGTTATCATAACTGAATAACTTAACAAAACGCAAAGCTAACTTTCCATTATTCCAATCATTATGTTAAGTGCCCCTACTAAAATCAGTTGGAGGGTTCCTCAGTATTTTCCAAAGACTGACTTTGGAAGGGGGCTAATTTCTAATCGTTTCTAAAGATAGCATTTATAGACAAAATCTTTTTGGTTTCAACAGGATATAGCACCCTTTGAAAGAGGGTAAAATTCTCCCTTACTCCCAATAATGTAAACTATAATTAGACTTCATTTCCAGGAAAGTGTAACAGAAGACTTGTTCTTTTTATTATATTCTGACTTAAACCTTTGCTGGTATCTCAAAATGAGACTTTATGAACACAGCCTTTTTCCCCATCAGAAAGAAAAATACAGCATGCTGTATATAAGCAAAATGATGGGTCTATAAAAGTGACAACTGGAAATATGTCTTAAAATTATTTCTTAAGGATGAAGAGTAAAGATCAACAGGACAAAACAACCTGTTGACAGTTTAGTGAAGACATGGTCCAAGTATATCTAGTGAAGACATGAGCATGGACCATTAGTCCTTAGGAGTCAGGGGTGCCTCAATACAAAAGTACTTGGCACCTTTGAAGACACCAACTCAAAATTCCTTAAGCATATGTGACCATAGTTAAAACATTAACTTTGTTACTTCAAAAAATACTGTCCTGGCTCCAGATTTATACCCTTTGAACCATTGGCCATTTTCTTCACTAGGAAACTTAAGCTAAATACCCACATATCCTATTGTTATTTGGGTTATACAAACAACCCAGTGCCTTTCCTTTTTTTTGGTGCCAGTCCTGGAGCTTGAATTCAGGGCCAGGGTGCTATCCTTGAGCTTTTGCCTAAGGGAAGCACTCTACCACTTGAGCCAAATTTCCACCTCTGGCTTTTTTTTTTTTTTTTTTTGATTAAAGAGTCTCACAGACTTTCCTGTCCCAGCTGGCTTTGAACCATGATCCTCAGATCTCAGCCTCTTAAGTAGCTAGGATTACAAATATGATCCACTAGTGCCTGGCTCCACATTGTCTTTAAAAAGTACACTATTAAATAGCAGTACTTGGCACAGAAAACAGGTATGGGCAATTATAAACACAATTCTCTTTCATCTAACCTCTTCCTGATTCACTTTCCCATTAATAGTCTTCTAGAATATATATCTATCAGGATATTCTGATTCTGCATAATTTACTGTATGAAAATCAGCAGCTGTGGAGTTTTAAGATTCTGCAGAATCATAGGTACTATGCATGCTGGCAATTGTTTAAAGGGTCTATTTTACTGCAACCCACATTTTAACTCTATATCTTTCAGAAAATTAAAAAGACTGGATATAAAAGAAACCTATATTATAGCACTTACTATGTTAATTTAAAAACCAGTATACTATAAAACACTCACATATTCTACACACAAAGACAAAATCATCCAGAACATAATCAGCCCCTAATCCCATCCAAAAAAAATCAACAATTCAAAGTTTTTATTTGCATGGCCAATTATCTTTTGTACTCTAAAACTTTATTTTAATATCCCTTTAACAAGTTCTAAGCTTTATTTTTGCACAGGGAATAAAAGCTGCAAGACTGCAAACTTCCTTCAACAGCCAAGTCCACAACACATAAACATGAAAGAGATGTACTGAATGACAACACCACAAGGGGATACTAAGCTCCACCAGTCAACATGGTTCATGACAGTGTCTTCAGGGTTCAGTTGAAGAGATAAGCTGCTTTTAAAAAGAGTCAGTTTCCTTTTTCCTGGTTTTATAATGTTGGTGGTTTTAATCCGTATTTCTTTGCAACTTCTGTCTGTGCATGGGCCGCATCACAAAGTGAATAAAGATGAGCCATCTCCATTTCTGATTTGGCCAGGTTAATAGCTTTGTTGAACATATCAATGGCTTTCTCCATGTTTCCTCTGAAAGAACAAAATTTTTAATTCTCAGATTAAACAAGTATTTCACACTATCACTAAGGGGAGCTGACCTGTGAAGCCTAACGCTTCAACTATGATTCTCATTATTATTTCATAATAGAAGACTGCTAGCACATTGAAAGTACTCAATGGTGATGACCACTTTTAAAGATACTATGGGCCTACATTTTACTTCCGCATTCTAAGTAACAGTAAGACTATAGAAATTAAATAGGTTACTTAAAGTCATAATTCTGTTTCCCGAAGGCTATTTCTGCCTTCCATAGGTGTTGCTAGCCAGGCATTGGTGGCTCACGCCTGTAATCCTAGCTACTAAGGAGGCTGAGATCTGAGGACTGCAGTTCAAAGCCAGCCTGGGTAGGAAAGTCCGTGAGACTCTTATTTCCAATTAACCACTAGAAAACTGGAAGTGGTGCTGTGGCTCATGGTAGAGTGCTTGCTAGCCTTGAGCTGAAGAGCTCAGGGACAGTGCCCAGGCCCAGAGTTCAAGCCCCATGACCAACAAAAAAAGTAAAAAAAAAATAAAAAAATGCTAGCACGAATGAAGATGGCATACTAAATTAAGTTCCATGTCACTTTTAATGCAGATTTCAAGTATAACACTGAGGAAGTATTTATAAGAAACAAGTTAAGGCTAAGCACTGGTGGTTCACTCCTGTAATCCTACTCAGCCCTAGGACCAGTACCAAAAAAACAGTAATTAAAAGACTTGCAAAGAAACATTTATCCAATGTTAATTTTACTTTATACCCTTTAATAAGAATACAGATGAAAAGAACACACACAGGTATTAGAGAAATACCTAAGTTTCCTTTCCTTTTAGTTTGAAAGAATAATGAAGTAAGGCAAATCATTGTTGAAGAGTATTGAGGGAAGCAGCTGTTAAAAAGTATGCAAATTTAGCTGGGGGCTGGTGGCTCACGCCTGTAATCTTAGCTACTAAGGAGGTTGAGATCTGAAGATCCTAGTTAAAAGCCACAATGGCCAAAAAAGTCTGTGAAACTCATCTCCAATTAACCACTAGAAAACTGAAGTGGCGCCGTGGTTCAAGTGGTAGAGTGCTCACCTTGAGCTGAAGAGCTCAGGGAAGCAACCAGGCCCAGAGTTCAAGCCCCATGACCGACAAAAAAAAAAGTATGCAAATTTAAAATTTTAATGGATGTTGGTAATAAAATATAATAATCTATGTAGCTGCCATACTTTCCAGAACAGATGCTAGCAGTTACCTTTGGACTTCAATAGTCCCCATGGTTTCATATGCAAAATCACATTTATTATCAATTTCAATAGCTTTGCTGATAAGCTCCAAACCTTTATCCAAATCTTGTTTCCACTGAAGTTGAAGTAAACTGCAAATACAAAAAGGCAGTCAGATGTGATCATAGCTCACTATCAATGGGAATATAAATATATAATTCAGTTTCTGCCTTCACTAAATCTACGTTTACCTTACAAGGTAAAAACAAAAACTAAACCAGAATACAATCAGCATTACATTGTGTACTCTACTCTGGCCTATATTTGTTTTGTAGTCTTCAAGTTCGTAATGAGTACTTGAGTTGGGAGTGGACACAGGGTAGAATGCAAGCTTAGTATACCCTCAACCCTCTGGCTCCATGCAAGGCACCACACATGCATATAAAAAGATCTGCTGTTCTATACTATTAGCTTACCTTGCATCCCTTACTTTTTTATAAATAAATTTGAGGCTTCTTAAATTTAAGTAAACAAGAAAAAACATTTTGTATTATTTTCTACTTTTGACAGAAGCAAGACATGACAGCATGTTAAGAACGGAAATTAAAACCCTTAACATAAGCCAGGAATCTCATACCTACAATTGGGCTACTTGGAAGGATCAATGTTTGAGACCAATTGGGACAGAAAAATTCACAAAACCTCTTCACCATAGCTGGATGCAGATGCATACTCCTGTCAAACCAAGCTACATGAGATCAGGAAGATCACACTTTCAGGCTAGCCTGGGTAGAAAAGTCTGTGATACTCCATATCTCCATGGATGGATTCTGGATGCAGTGGCATATGCCTATGATCTCAGCAATGACAGGAAGACTAAAGTGGTCAAAATGAAGTCCAGGTATGCGCCACAGTGGGAAATGCGACTCTGTTCCGAAATTGAGCAGCAAAACAGGCTGGAGGCATGGCTCACGGTAGACTGCTAGCCTGACCCAGGTTCAAACAAAAAAACCCTCTTAAAACAGGAGTGAAAACAGCATATATTTACTGATTTCTATATAAGAAGGAAACAGTATCCACAGCCACTAAGAAATGGTCACTTAACTCAGTGGTACTTCTTTCTTATAGTCCCATTCCACAAAGGCCAAGTAGATTTTCTTACTATCTTACTGGGATAAACAGAACCACAAAAATACATACCCTTTATGAACGTAAGTTGTGGCATTATCTGGTTCCAAATCAATACATTTATCATACATTTCATCAGCTTTACCAAATTGCTGTTGATCTGTTAGTGCCTATGTGAGGAGATACTTGCATTATACAAAGGTAACTGTTAACCTAAACAGTTAAAAGCCATATTGCTTAGAGTGAACAAATGCAGCAGTGGTACTTCACTGGACACTATGTTGGAAATGAACTATACAACTTTTGGGTAGGGAGTAGAGGGAAAAACTGGGAAAGAGCAAAGGAAGGGATGATACTGTCCAAAAAGTAAACTCATTACCTGACTTATGAAATTGTAACTTCTGTATATTACACCTTTATGGTAACTATTCGATTATTAAAACTTATTTACCTATTCATTACCAAACTGTATACTAAATCATTATTTAAACGGATTCATATTTTGTATCTTAATATGGGAGTTTTCAGGGAGCATCTCAATATAAAATTTTAGTCAGGCACCAGTGGCTCACGCCTGTAATCCTAGCTACTAAGGAGGCTGAGATCTCAGGATGGCGGTTCAAAGTCAGCCGGGGCAGGGGCAGGAAAGTTCGTGACACTCTTATCTCTAATTAATCACCAGAAAACTGGAAGTGGAGCTGTGGTTTGAGTGGTAGAGTGCTTGCCTTGAGCTGAAGAGCTCAGGGACAGCACCCAGGACCAGAGTTCAAGCCCCATGACCAACAACAAAATTTTTTTTTAGCCGTTCTCTTTTGTTTTGCAAATAAGCTGTGAACAGCTAATCTGGTAAACTACAGAGCAGAGAAGATCCTACCCTTAGTGATAGTTCTTAGGAACCAAATTTTCACAAACATACTTACATTCACTTATTATTATTATTATTATATATATCAAGAAAATTACTTTAAAGGCAAAGCTCATTTGGAAGGGTAAATTAACTGTTGTCAGTCGCTCCTTAAAAATAACTGATAAAAAATAAAAGCAGGATGGCATGCTTAGGGAAGGAATCCAAAGGCACGACTTCGCTGAACACTAGAAGTGGAACCATGATTTGGGTGTGGCTGTGCAAGGAGGGGCATGGGAACGAGGGATGTAGTCATTATACTCCATGTACATTAATAAAAAAATGAACTACATAACTTGAGGGTACAGATAGGAGTGGAAAATGAAGGAGTGACAATGATCAAAAAGCACTGAACTCAAAAGCTATTTAATAATAAATAATCAAAGTAGCAATAATCAACTACTTTCAAAGAAAATTTTATACCTAAAATAGAAGGCTTGGTTTTGTGGTTTTAACTTTTAAAGGCTGGTATCATCTAAAGCCCAAACTTCAAGGATTAAAACAAAATACACATATGGAAAACAAATTTTAAATCTATATGAATATAAAGTTATATAGAGCAAAGCAAAATTTAGAAATTTAAGTGAAAACAGACAATGTTGCTGTTGATGAGAAGACCATCGTATACGTCAAAGCTATTTTGAAGATAGAATAGAAAAAAATGTGCAATTAAGAAACATTCCTCAGCCGGGTGCCGGTGGCTCATGCCTGTAATCCTAGCTACTCAGGAGGCTGAGATCTGAGGATCGAGGTTCAAAGCCAGCCAGGGCAGGAGAGTCCGTGAGACTCTTATCTCTAATAAAAAACCCCTAGAAAACCGGAAGCGGCACTGTGGCTCAAACGATAGAGCACTTGCCTTGAGCTGAAGAGCGCAGGGACAGTGCCCAAGCCCAGAGTTCAAGCCGCATGACGGACCAAAAAAAAAAAAAGAAAGGAAAAAAAAAGAAACATTCCTTCCCCCAAATGAAGCTCCACAGTTAAGTCGTTTCTAGTATTGGTTCCTGTACAAGCTATAGCAGAATTGCACAGGAGTGTGCCGGGCCCATGAAAGCTATGTAGGGGCCTTGACTTTGTTAGCTTCTGCACCCCACAAAAATGTTTTTCATTCCATGTTAGTGGTGAGAATGGTGTCATCACTTCTGATGTTACTAAAATGTGCAACTGTTTTGACTTTGATATGTTTTAAAATTTTTTATATAGCGTATGTTTATGTAACATATTAAAAATGCGCTGCCTCCCTAAGTGTGATTTTTATTAACACCAGGAATTGTAGAGAAGAGATAACAGTATTTTAAGTTTTGGTTAAAGAACCCCTGAGCTAAAGCATACTATCTCAAAATTGCAATGGTAATCTATGAGGGAAATCAAACACAAAATAATCATCTTTAACAAAAGCCTATGGCAACTTTTTAATGTTTTCTATTTTTGATAATTGTAAGGAAAGCCTTTTTTGTAATAAAGAAAGTAATTTTAAAGTCAGGCATGAAGTGGCACACACCTCTAAGCGCAGTACTTGGGCTTACAGAGAAGCAGGAGGATCATGAGTGCAAGGCCAGCTGATCTATTAGCCTGAGCTATAATATTTTACACAAACAAAAAGAAAACAAAAGTAGGTAAATATATTAAATGCCACAGAATACTATAATGGCAACTTTCAATCTATACATAAATATCATTTATTTCAGGGACAAAGTAAAATACGCCTCCACAAAGAAGTAATTTTCACTGAGATAGATGATTTAAAATAAGCATCTAGAAGAATATTATATCAGAATCAAAAAGGATTCAAATTTATGGGCTGGATGGATGTGTAGCTTAAGCAATAGCATATTACCCTTGAATGAAAAAGCTCTCTCACAGCATGAGGGTCTGAATTTAAGTGCTGGCCTTAACAAATCTATTGACAAAAACAAATCCATTCCAAACCAAGAAAGCTTGAAGAGTTTCAGATAAACTGAAGAAAAATTAAAGCAAGCTTCTACAGCTCAGCTAACTATAAAGGGTAGGTATTAAGCAGACAAAAAAACTCTCATTATGGATATTTTCTTCATCAACTAGTGTGAACTTTTAAAATTTCCAAAGGTAATTACTTTTTCAAATCCAAGCCAAATGAAAAGCAACCCAAAATGAGACAAATGCTGCCTGCTTTCCCATGCTGTATTTAGGGCTATAGCTCATAAACTGCACAAGGGAGTTGGCCGAAGGTGATTCAGGACCATATAGGGACCTTGAAAATTAAAGCACTAACAAAGCCACCTGCTTCTACTGCACAGCTGCAAAACTTACATATATAAACAGTTCTTATCAAATGTTTTTTTGAAAAACATTGCATTTACCTGGGCATACAGTGCATAACCTTCAGCACACTTTGGAAATTTCTTTATGACCTCTTCAAATCCTTTCATAGCTGCTTGGATTTGTGAAGAATTGTTTCCTGTATAAGCTTGGCGATACTACATTAAAAACAGCAATCAAAACATGCCCGTCAAATCAAGAACTCAAAAACTTCTGAAATATTGATCTATTATGAGAGACAAAAAGCTTTTCCAGAAAAGCATGTGATCTGCTAACATTTGCTGAATCCAAAGGACTGTAAGACATCTTAGAAGAAGGGATCTAAAGATAGACGTAAATGGAATTGAAAATAAGCTCACCATCTAAGTCTGTATCATGTTACTCTCATTACCAACAAATAATGGTGAACATACAGTAATTATTCAATATAAAATTACTTTGTAGAAAGTGGGACGTTTCAGTATGACATCACTTTTAATCTGTAAGGCAAATGTAATGCCATTTCTTTAAAAGGAAAATTACCATAGACTTTACTGGCTTAACCCTAAAACTTGGGTCTGTGGACTCAACCTCCACATATAGTGATAATTTGCTATGGGAATAATTAGTATTATTTCACTCGTCCAAGTAATACATAGTGCTCTTCAAAATGGAACGGACCAGAATACAGATGAGTGCACCATTTTCTTCATAATAGATTGCTATTTTAAAAAATGAAAAAGGGGAAGATGTGGGAACCTCAGGACCCCGATGGAACTGTGAATGAGTGCATAGGGATGCCAGCAGAAAACTGCTGGCTATGAGATTGCTCAGGCTGAGTGTCTGACATTCTGCAGTAATCCTGTCAAGAAGAGTGAGTGCCAGTGTGTATTTTACTGCTGCCTGGTTTCCTGGATCTGTTACCCAAACCACTTACCTTACAGCTTCCTAATATCCTGTTATAAACCTATTGGAATGTGCTCTTTTGATCTGTTCCCTTCAGCTAGCTCTAGGACAATCTGACTCTATAAAACTATGGGTAGAGAGAATATTTTCACTTTATCATATCTGTTCCTTAAACTTATTCTTCTCCTCATAGTGGTATTAAGAGTATTAATCCTTTAATATTGAAATATTAAATATGATATCACTGCACAGGCATTACTTTATCTTCTGCCCTAGTGTCTGCCAGATGGAACTGGCTAGTGGTACTCTAACCTTTCATTCATCCTTTTATTTAGCTTTGTGCTTCTGAATACTGAGAAAACGCTCTATATATAATAGTAGTGATGAGTGATGAGAGCATAGTGGTCATGATTACAAATGATTTCCTCAAAAATGTCTTTGAATCCTTTGGGTTGGCTTATAGTACAGAAGTAGTGAATGGAGACTGCGTCGTTAGGAAACCATAAGCTCCGGAACAAACACAGGGCTGGCATATTTCTGTAATCACAGCATTTGGGAGGCTGAAGTAGGATGATCAGGAGTTCAAGAATAGCCTGATTTGATCTCAAAAAAAAAAAAGTAATAACTTACCAATGCAAAACATTTCTGAGCTTGTGCCAGAGCAGACTCTGGTCTTAACCTAATACATTCATCAAAATCTGCTACTGCTTCTTCAACTTGATCAAGAAGTATTTTCAGCTAAGGAAAAAATACACAGGTTTACCAGTTAAGTCTGTACCAAGTCTCTTTTGTTACCACAGTTAAAGCTCAGCACACAGTAAATATTCAATATGAAATTACTTTGTAAAAACAGAAAATTAGAAAATGTTGTGATTTTAAAGACTAAAACTTAAAACAGATGTTCAATTTTTTGAAAAACAAATTAAGTCCTCCATTTTGTACTACAATTTTCAACACTATTAAAAACCTACTTTTATAAAAGTAAACATCTATTTTTTTAATTTCACAGTAAGTTAGACATCATGTAATTGCCTTTCAAATTAATCTTAAGATACTAATAGTAAAGATGAAAATGTCAAGCAGTTGAAGAGTTGAAGATGCAATACTTAGCATCCTTCAGATAGAAACGTTAACATTTTGTTGACAGGCAATAACTTTGCTTTTTTGTTATAGAGATGGCCCATATTTTCCTTTATATTACATTCTAAGGAGCCATTTTAAGCAAATTACAAAGTTATGTTTTCTTCAAATCTGTAACTCGAAATGTTTTCTTCACACTATGTGTCTTTTGCAGAAGAGATTTGTTTTGTTCATTTGGGGGTACTATTAGAGTTTGGGCTATTACTTCCTGTTAGTGAGAAGCTCACGACAGTCCTCCTGTTGATTCCAGCATCAACTTCCAATGCTTATAAAATGTTATTGTTTACTTGCAGAAACATATGAACGTTGAATTTTATGAATCATCAAATCCAGGAACAAACTAATTAAACTAGCAAGTCAACGTTTTTTGTTTCTTGTTTTTTTTTGCCTTTTCTCTCATAAGTAAATAGCAAAATTATGAAGACATATGTTAAAGACAAATTCTCCCAATTCTCCCAAATCAAAACTTTAGGTAGATTTACCTGGCCTCGGTGATGATACACATCTGCATTCTGAGGATCAATGTCAGCAGCCATATTAAAATCCTGAGTAGACAGCAAAGGCTGCTGCTGTTGCATGTACATGCTGCCTCTTTTGATGAGGGCATTTGCTCGAAGCTACAGCCAAAATGACAAAAAGCTCAGCATTACTTCTTTTCTTCCAATTGTTTGGGTTTTTTTTGGCTGGGCTTGGGGCTTGAACTCAGAGCCTGGGCTCTGTCCCTGAGCCTCTTTGTGCTCAAGACTATCGCTCTACCACTTGAGTCACAGTGCCACTTCCAGCTTTTTTGAGTAGCTTATGGAAGAGTTTCATGGAATTAGCTTTGAATCGCGAGTCTCAGATCTGTCTCTTGAGTAGCTAGAATTACAGGCATTAAGTCATGGACGACCTCAATTTAGTTTTTTAAGATAAAATTCAGATACCATGAAGTTCACTCTTTTAAACTGGAGGTTTAGAAGTAGAGGTGTGGCTCAAGTGGTAGAATGCCAATCTTAAGTGAAAAAACAAGCAAGGACTCAAGACCCTCACAGTACTAGTAAGCCTTATAATGGCATGTGCATACACACACAGACATGTGCATGCAAGTAAGTAAATAGGATGTGCGGTTTGTTTTAGCATATTCCCTACTAATTCCAGAACACATTTACATATCCCCACAGAATGAATTTGTATCCTATTTTATATATCATACAGCCTTTCTCCTGGCTTATTTCGTTTAGTACAATGTTTTCGAGACTCATCTATGCTGTAGCATGTGTTAGTACTTCCTTTTTTAAAATTAAGTAGTTGTACAAAGGAGTTGCAATTCCGTGAATCACACTGTGAGTACAATGCTTATTGGACAATGTCTCCCTTCCTTTATTCTCTTCTATTTTTCCCTACACACGTTAGATAGCTCATTTTTAAAATCATGTACATTGAATAAAATGACTGTATTTGCTTACCCTTCCTCTCCCATTTTTGTGCCCCCCACTTCTTCCTTTTTTATGACAAAGTAACATTATAGGGGTAGACATGTCACATTCATCAGTTCAGGCACATTTAAGTAGCTTTTGGCTACCATGAATATCATACACAAATTTTTGAGCTGATATATACACTAGATTCTCATGGATATATACCTATGAGTGGTAACATGTTTAGTTTTTTGAAGAACTGTCAAGATAATTTCCAAAGAGCCTTTATCATTTTTCATTCCCAATGAAATAAGAATGCCTCCATATTACAACTGATCAGTAACAGAATGTACTTACTACTACCCAAGTATTGTCTAATATATAAGTTGGCAGTGTTGACAAGGAACTTCAAACTTCCAGAGACTGGAAAAAAAATCATTTACTTTCCTAGCTGAATATAAGTGTTAATAATATTTATGTTTCATATCCACTATGCCAAGTCACTCATCATTAGGTAGCTTCTATCAAAACAAAAATATCATTTTGGAAAATGGCAAAAGAAATGTTAAACTATCAGGCAGAACATCTATGAAAAGAACCGGGCGCCGGTGGCTCACACCTGTAATCCTAACTACTCAGGAGGCTGAGATCTGAGGATAGCAGTTCAAAGTCAGCCTGGGCAGGAAAGCCCCTGAAACTCTTATCTCCAACTTAGCACCAGAAAAACAGAAGTGACGCTGGCGCTGTGACTCAAGTGGTAGAGAGCTCACCTTGAGCCGAATAACTGAGGGACAGTGCTCAGGCCCAGAGTTCAAGCCCCATGACTGACCCCCCCCCCTCCAAAAAAATAAATCTATGAAAGCATCACTTTCATTTAAGTTTTTTTCTATATGCACACACACATTTCAAAATATACCTTCACATTAGCTTCTTTCAAACTGATGACCTTATCTAAGTCAGGTTTGGCTGCATTGGCATTGCCAATAAGCAGGTAGAAGGTGGCTCGTAGCAACAATGCTTCTGCCATGTATTTGCCTTGAGTATCTATTTCTTTTGAGCATTCACTTATGATTTTATCATAGTTTTCTTCTTCCATGTACTGTTTGGCTTTTAAATATCCAGAACTGAAAATGAAAACACATTATTAGTACAAGACAAAGTGTTAAAATTTACCACATTTGGCACCTCTTGGGTAAGTAACTGTCAATTTTCCCCCAAGTCCCAGTGTGGGACTGAACTATTGTTTCACTGTAAACAACAGACCTAGAATTAATAAGTGGACTTATCAAAAAAGCAAATTTAAAAAAATCTCATATACTGGCTAGGACTTAAAAAAAAAAAAACCTTTCTTTAAAAGTTCAGTAAATTGTGGGTGGGGATGGATGGGTAAACTAGAGGAAAGTGAAAGAAAAGGTGACACTGTCCAAAAAGAAATGTATTGATTATCTGACTTACGAAATGGTAACCCCTCTGTACAACACCTTAATAATAATATTTGAAAAGAAAATTCATATGTAGTAAGTTTAATATTCTTCTAAGATCATGATTGTTACTGGAAATTCATCTTCCAAATACATATGTTCTTCAATTTATGTTACTTTAAAATGGTATGAAAGTTATATACTTTAGTAGACACTATACTTCAGGCTGGTACTAGTGGCTCATGCCTAAAATCCTGGCTACTCAGAAGGCTAAGAAGACAATCATAGTCAGAAGCCAACCTGGGCTGACAAAACTACAACTCTTATCTCCAATTAACTACCTCCTTCTCTACCCCTCTCCCCCCAAAAAGGAGATGTGGCTCAAATGTTAGGAGCATCATCTTGAGTGGAAAAGCGAAGCAAAGAATGCAAACTAAGCAGGAGTTCAAGCCCCAGCACAAAAACAAGCAAAAAAAGAAACTATTTCAAATTTCAACCACATCACCGTGCTCCTGTGGCTCATGGCTGAAATCCTAGCTACTCAGGAGGCTGAGATCTGAGGATCATGGCTCAAAGCCCGCCTGGGCAGGAAAGTCCGTGAGACTCCAATAAACCACCATAAAGTGGCTCGATGGCTCAAGTGGTAGAGTGCTAACCTTGAGCTGAAGAGCTTAGGGACAGCGCCCAGGCCCAGAGTTCAAGCCCCACGACCGACCAAAAAAAAAAAAAATCAACCATATCATGGGCTGAACAACCTCTATCCTACAGCATAATATTGCTAAGCTATAATGCTCAGTAGGTTAGATATAGCGAACATCTTTTACTTAGTAGTTTCCACTTGCAATATATTTAGCAGGATATAACTGCAATCTAAATCAAGAATCTAAATAAGATAATGTAAACTGAATTAAAATTTTATGTCAGTTGTTATATTTGGTATAGAGAAAACTGGCAAGTGATTTTAAAGAAAAGCTGTGCCAATCAAAATCTTTTAACTACATCTCTAGCTATAAACACAGTATTTTGTGCTTTAAGTTCAGCTTTCTATAGGATGAAGTTTAAGAAGTTGAAAGAATAGCATTTTGTTAGGCAAGCAGAAATCTTGAAGGAATTAACAGCATTCCCGTATTTGAATGTTAGTCTGTATAATAGTTTACATTAGTGCTTCTATTTAAATAGCTAACCACTTGACTCAACAGGAATCCTTCTGGGATACCAGACTGCAGTCACCAAGGAAGGAACAGACACATTGCATACACAGAAAGTGGTAATTTAAAGTACATACCATGCTTGGCATACTTACTTTTCTTTTACTTCTAAAGCTTCTCCCTCCTTGTCTTTATCTTCATCAGACTTCTCTCCTTTAAGCATGGGTTGAGAAATTATATCATCCGTGAAAGAACTGAAGTAAGATTTGATAAACTGTGGAGATGGCATCAGAGGTTCACGGTTCTGAAATTTAATCATGTTTAAATCGATCAAAATAGGTGTGGAAAGTGGTGTTTTACTCCACAGACTATAATTTCTTACTACATTGTAGTACAAATGCCTTATTACTAAATTTAAGATTCCTTATAGAGTCTGGGTGCTGATTCTCATGCCTGTAAATCCTAGTCTGACTCAGGAAGCTGAGATCTGAGGACCATAGGTTGAAGCCAGCCCAAGGAAAGTCCATGAGACTCATCTCCAATTAACCACCAGAAAAGTAAAAGTGGAGCTGTGGCTCAAAGTGATAGAGCATTAGCTTTAAGCGGAAAAGCTTAGGGATAACACCCAGACACTGAGTTCAAGCCCCATTATGGACCAAAAAAAAAAAAGATTCCTTAAAGTCTCAATTTATGGGACTGTAAAAAGATGTTTCACCAAGTATTTTTGAGGAACATCCATCTTATGAAATGCTCATTACAGTTATATTCCTCTTAGAGCTTCATAACACATTTTAATACATTAAAACCTTATAGTACTAACTGTTAACTCTGCTAACAGATACAGGGAAAATGGGGAGGAGAAGGGAGAAGGAGGAAGAGGAGAGAGTGAAGATTATTAAGATTATTAAGATCAATTTAAGAAAAAAGCAAGTCACTTGTAAAGCAAAAGGGAACCAATTTAGCAATGAATCTGAGTAATGTGATAGTCTCCCTTCAATACCTAACCATACCAAGACTTTTATACTAAATGTCTTCCAATAAATTTTAATTCTGAGGAGAGGATTATGTTTTGTCTTTATACCTATCCTTTCAGCATGGAGCTTTGTTTTAGAACTATTGAATTAAACTGTCAGAAGTATCTTAAATTCCAAATTTATATAGTATTCCTTCAAAAGCTAATGATATAGAACAGGGGCTGGCATATTTTTCTAAAAAGGCCAGGTGTAGTAAACAGTTTTAAGCTTTGCAGATTATAAAGTACTCATTTGCTAAATAAAAAACAACAAAACAATAACAAAAAATCACTTAACTTTGCTGCAGCTCGAATCCAGCCCCAAACAATGTGTAAGTAACTATTATTTTTTTCAAAAACAGTTACAGACTAGACTAGGCTGATGGGCCCCTGTATAGCAACTATGAATACAAATGAACTACAATATTCTCTAAGCACCGTACTTGGCATAACCTTTTTATTGAAAAGGATATGCTCTGGTGTCACAAGATTATAGGAAAATCCAGTTCTAATTCTCAGTTGTTAAATTAAGCACTCTTTTCAATTCAACTGGCCTAAGAAACTACACTTTTAATGATATATACTGTATTACACAACAAGTAATAACTTACCTTATATTTTTCTTTGGCTTTCTCTTTTCCAAGAAGTTTAAGTACTTTATCAGCTAATAGCATGCTTTGCTGATTTTGGAACCCTTCTAATATACACACAGCAGTGACATCTAGAAATGGTGAAAAAAGATTAAGTTTGAAATTATTGCAAAGATAATCAGCAACATCAAATGGCATAACTACAGAAAGCCAAACTAAATACACAGCCTCATCAGGATGTTTCATCTTCTATAAACTGATTGTCAATACCTTTTATATTTATATATTTTATGATATAAATCAAAGCTCAAACACTCACTCTAATTCTCTAATGGTTTCTCCCTGACTCATGAACGTGCTTGTACTACACAATTTCTAATGTTTTTTCACTGCTCTAACATTCCATAGATAACAAAATGAGGAATATTCTCTTTTGATTAGTAACCCTAAGGAAATCAAAACAATATGGCTTCTCCTATCTACTTTTTTTTTTCTTTATGAGATGGGGGTCTTGTGATATTCCCTAGGCTGGCATTAAAATCCTGGGCTCAAGTGATTCTCTCCAGCCTCACTCTCCCAAGCAGTTCACCACTGCACTTAGCAAATGGATTAGATTTATAGGTCTCCTTGTATCCAAAGCTAACCTGCCACTGAACCTTCAAATAAATCTGCTTCAGAGTACCATTTTTGTTTGGTTATGTTACAGCACAGATATATGTTTAAATTTCAAATATCGATGAGTGGTCCTTTTATTTGCATTAGTCAAAATAATCACTGTCCTCTTTTTCGGAACTTAGTTTCTCACAATTTCATATCCTTTTTCCACTATAGAAGTCAACCTGGAATTATATTTCTCTAAGATTTGCCTGGTAGCAAAGTCAGTGTCTCTTGTCCCATTTCTTTGATTTAGAACTCCACACCTTTCTGTCAAACATTATTCTAGTAACATTAAGGATTGTTTCAGAATTTAGGATTTCCTTTTCTAAAACAACTGTTCCTTCCATCCACAACCAAATTAAGAGACATAAAATCTCAAATGTTGCTAAGATGTTCTCAAACGTAGTCATTTGATAACCCAGGGTTCTTAAAACTTAGCTTTTATCTTTGAGAAAGTGTCCCTGGGCAAAGGATGTAGCTCAGCAGAAGGTACTTAGCACTTTTGAACTCAGGTGTGATCCCCAGCAGCCAAAATCAAAGTTACTCTTTAAAATAATAATTATGGCTAAAAGCATATGCTAATTGCAGTTTGGGGAGCAGTCCTACCTAGTCAATTTAAGGCTCAAACACTTAGAGCACCTGTTCAAAATATTGACTTACTTTACTGATCATAGAATTTGCAACTGGATATAAATTAACACTTGAAAATTTGAAAAGCAAAATCATTCATAAGTCATTTTAAAGCTACTTCATATTTTCATAAGCCATTAATTGAAAACATATAAATATTTCTGCTTGCTTAAACTTCTTTTCTAATTTCCTTCATCACAGAATTATACTAATATTCACTAAGCACAAATGTAAATTGTGTGGTATATAAACTACAAATCTTAATTCTCATTAATTCCATAGTTGAGAATAGAAGTAGTACTTAAGTGCCACCTATTTCAACTAGAGAACAAAGTCTCAATTGGGAAAAAAAAAACAATTCTCTTTGGTTCAGTTGTGGGCTTGAACTATAGGCCTGGTGCTATCCCTGAGCCTCTTTGTGCTCAAGGCTAGAGCGCTCTACCACTTGAGCTATATTGCCACTTTTGGTTTTTGAGTAGTTAATTGGAGATAAAAAGTCTCACAGGAGTTTTCTGTCAAGGCTGGGTTTGAACCAGGATCCTCAAATCTCAGCCTCCTGAGTAGCTAGGATTACAGGCTTGAGCCACCAGCACCCGGCTCAACTTTTAAAGACAACTGATTCTGTATTCATAAGGCAGAGTTCCATATAAATTTACCAATGACTAAAAAACCTCCAGTAATTTCCATAGGCAAACACAAAAAAACCCTCACCTTCTAAACATTCCTTCTTATTGTCTAGCTTCTCGTGGGCTTTTGCACGTCTAAAGAGAGCTTTCACATATTTGGGATTAAGTTCAACAGCCTTTGTACAATCCTGTGCCACCTCTTTCCATTTTTGCTGCAATTCAAAGTATTAAAAAAAAAAAGTGTCACATCAAAAATAGTAGTGGTTCAACAGAAATCAGCTTTTCAACCGGCACACGGGTTCATACTATTTTCTTTATCACTCCTGCTAAAATCCAAGGAGGTACATACCTTCATATAAGGCCATACCACAACTGATAATTTCAGATTCTTTCAGCTATCCTTTCTCTGAACCAATCTGCTTTTCTTCTGGACTATTCTCACAAATATAACATCTCTTGCTCTAAATCTGAAACTCCTGTGACTCCATAAAGCTACACCTTAACTCTCAGGTGTTCTTTATTATCAGCTTTTCACAGCTCTGTACTTGATTTCTACTTACTTCACTGGCTGTTCCTCCATTTTCTTGGCTGAATTCTCAGTCCCTAACTGAGTTTTATATGCTAAAATGCTCATTTCTTCTCATTACCTCTAGGTGATTAAAACCTAAAATTAGATTCTCAAATTTTCTCTTCCAGTCTAGACACTCATAAATTGAAGACATTTTCTCAGTTTAACTGTCTTAGTTGGTTCACTCCTTCTCTACCACTGGTACTTCACATCCAACGAAACAGTAAGCTGTTGATCTTTGGCTTTCCTTCATGTCTTATCTAGGCTAATGTAATCATCCTTACTTAGTTTTCCTTGTCTCCATTCTTGACTCTCCAATACAGTTTCAACAGAAGAGTGAGAGCAATCTTGATTATTTATTTGTACCCTACTTAAAACTTTGTCTTGCTATGTAGTCCAGGTTTTGAACTTGGATTCTATCCCCATGCCACAAGTGCATACATTGCATAAAAGGTTTTTCCTTACTTGATCCCTTGTTCACTTTCCCCAATTTCATTTTCGGAACATTTCTATTTTTTTAAGCATATAAAATTCTTCCTTACCTGAAATTACACATTTTATTTCCCTATAATACTTTCTTTCCCATTGTCTTACACATCAAATCTACTGTACAAACATGGCTCTACATATAGCCTTCTAAAAGAATGAAACAAATTTTATTTATGTTAATGTGAAAAGCCATACAAAATACGGTGGCAAATGAAAATACTTTTTGGTCTTCTTCCCTGTGCATATGCAACTACTGCTGAGACAAAAAGTTCAAGAATAGCCTCAAACTGTTAAGGATAAGGTCACTAGAAAACTTCCATACAATCTGATTTTGTAAAAAGTAAAATACATGTAACTTTGGTGTATATTTGAAGGCAGCACAACTATAATTTGTTTTAAATGTTTTTTTATTTAATGAAAGGAAATAGCAAAACTTCAGCAATTCCAAAGCAATTTTTTTAAAGTGTTAGATTTGACTAAATTAGCTGAAACTTAATGTAAACCAACAGAAACAAAAGGAACAAAGGGAAAAAACCCAGAACACATACCAACTGTTCAAAGGCAGCAGCTCTGTTTTGATAAAATGTGGAAAGGTCGACATTCTTCTCAGTAGGGCACAAACTAATAGCCTCAGTGTAGCATTGAATAGCCTGGTCATATTTTCCTGCTTTAAAATATTTATTGCCTTTGTTCTTGGCTGCTTGGGCTCTATCAAGAGAGTTCTGAAATGAGAAGAAAAAAGAAAATTAAGATTAAAAAAATACTCAGGTCACAGTGATTAAGGCAAGAAAAATAGGAAGATAGCTATTTACAGTGAAAGCTGCTACCTTTAAATCTCTTCTTGAAATTGATTCTTATAGTATAAAATGGTTCAATGAAAAGGTGTATAAAATTTTAACTTAAAAATGCAGATATTTCCTAATAATGGTTGTAATACTTGAAAGCACAATTTTCCCATCATCCATTAGTGAAAAAAAGCAATTGCATCCTTTTATTTTGGAAAAACCCAGCTAGGGTATAAGCATTAGTCACTAAAACAGGAAGATATTGTGAGATCACAGCAAAAGGTAGATAGATTTGGGGCTTACAAAATACAACTTATTAGGTAGTTATTGGCAGAAACTTATCTGGCATCTTGAGGAGGATTTCCACACTCCATGGCAGAGAAAAGGGTTTATATGCTAAGCTATATATGGGTTGGTTATCTGTCAACCCAATTGTACCTAGCTTTCCTCAAAAAAGAAAAAGAATTACCACATCCAGTCACAGCACAACACACTTAGCAGACTAACTCTTTTGTCTTTAGTGACAAAAGGATGGAGATTTATGCTAGTCTCTGGAGGCAAAATGGCAATTACTGTCAAGCTGGATCCCTATACTGTTCTCACAGGGCATTTTGGTAATGGCTGGAAACCAACCAATCTCCCTCCAATCATTTTTGGTGGTACTAGTGATGAAACCCCTAAGCTTCACTTCCACTAGGGAAGCTCTATAAAAAAGAGGCTCAACCTGAAGGCCTAGACACAATTTTACTGCCACAACAGCAGGAATGGGAGCATCAAGTAGGCAGAGGACAAGGTTTTTGTAATAAACAGGAAAGCCCACAACGAACTACTATCTCCAAAATGTCTATACCTGGGTTGAGAAACTATGGTATTAAGGAATACTCTAATATGATTTTAATTTACACCTTTCTTACTAGTTATGAGTTTGAAATATTTTATTATTGGCTTTTTGACTTTCTTGTTCTAAAAACATTTATTCAAATATTTTGCTTTTTTTCTATTAGGCTGTTTGCCACTGGTACCAAATAGATATATGTTTTGGTTTATTCATTACAATTGTTACTCTAAATTCATCATTTACCCATCAACAGACCTCTGCCCAGTGTCTGCTTTCTGAAAATCCAACATGCAAATATTTGAGAAGTATTACCACTATGCTTCATTTATGTTGATCTTGAAAGGATTGTCCTGAAGGGTTCCTGCTTTGACCAGGGGGCTTGGCCCTTGTTAATTATATTTTAGTTACATCCTTTTCCTGAGCATTTTAATTAAGGCATCCTGTGAGAAGCTCTTCAATTTTATGCATCCTGTTAACTTCTTACAGCCATCCTGGTGCCTCCTGATCTGTGGAGGGAGTTCTCTGCCCAGTGCTGGGCAGCCTAGGTGGCAAGAGGTCATTCATTGAATTGCTGCAGATGCCTAGCTCAAGATGAGCTGGGAACTTGGCTTCAGAGAAACATAGATGTCACAGCCTTAGGAAAGCTGTGCATAGAGAATACTGATTCTCTTTTGATTCTCCCTAAATGGCTTGATTCACCTGCCTCTGAGTAGCCTCTAAGTATACTCCTACATGGAAGGTTGAGGAGTATCTTCCTTAGATGGAAAAGTTCTGCTGGTACCTAAGCTTGTACCTGGAGTATGTCCATATAAGGTCGGGTTTTGTTGGGTTTGAGTACCCCCCCCCCAACCCAAGCATGTAGTTTTGTTTTGTTTTTAAATTTTTTATTATGAAAATACTGTTCATGAGTTACAATTACATGGGCAAGATAATGAGTACATTTCTTATCAAGTATTGTTGCTTCCTCCTTTGTTTCCCCTTCCCATCCCTTCACATATCCCGTCCCCTTCTACCTCCCCCCCAAAGTTGTAAAGTTCCTTTTTCTACATAACGACTTGTACATTTCATTGTTGCAATGAGTGTACCTGTATCCCTATTTAAACGATTTGTTTTTTCCCTTCCCCTCCACAAATTATACCAACATCAAATACAGTGAAAGCAGGGGTTATATCATGGGGGAGGGACATACAAAGCAACAAAGAAATCATCTTATAAATATGTCAGAAACAATCGCACATTTCACCTAACATCAACATATCTGACCTTTTCTGCCAAGCAAGTAGTTTTTAAAAGCTTTATGAAAACTCTGTTCTGGGCTGCTGGTCTTGAGATCACCAAGACTTTGGTCTTTGAGTCCACCACAAAGACCTTTTTTTCTCCCTTGTTCTAAATATCTTCCAAAGTTCATCAAATATATGTATGTTATGACGTATTTTAAAGGTAGAAAACTCTCTTAGTCAAGCTTTCTAATAAAGACTCCCCATTTGATCTCTCCAGATGTGTCTTCTCTGTATCTCCCAGCTGAATTTACCTTACAAAAAGTAAATGTGCCAATAATCACTAAACATGTCAGTAACAATGTGAAATAATTAGATCTTTATATTAACAGATCAACTAACTAAATGTTGCCTAAACAGATAACCTAAAGCAAAATAATCCTGACAAAAAAAAATTAAAAAGAACTAGGCTAGGATGTAGCTCAGTGGCAAAGCGCTTGCCTAGCAAGTGCAACGTCCTGGGTTCAATCCCCAGTACTAAAAAAGAAAAGACAAAAAAAAATACAGTTAAGAAAAAAAAAACCCAAACTTTGGGCTGGGAAGGTGGCTCAGTGGTAGAGCTCTTGCCTTGCATGCATGAGGCCCTGGGTTCGATTCCTTAGCACCACATAAGCAAAAAGGAAAAAAAAAGCCGGAAGTGGCGCTGTGGCTCAAGTGGTAGAGAGCCTTGAGCTGAAGAGCTGAGAGACAGCGCCCAGGCCCAGAGTTCAGGCCCCACGACCGGACCCCAAAAAATTAAAAAGATGTAGAAGTTGTAGAAGGCAACTATTACAAAAAGAAGAAAGCATCTTATACCTATTAAAAGCATCAGACAGAACACAGGACAGTTTTTGTTGCTAAAAGGTAATAATCTGCTAAAAGGACACAATAATCATGAATCCGTATGTATCAAATTAAGACTTTATAATAACTTACTATTAAGTAAACATGCAAGATAAACATTATTTTAAGCCAGGTGCCTGTAATCCTAACTTTTCAGGAGCTTGAGGTCTGAGGATGAAGGTTCAAAGAGTCTGTGAGCCTCTCATTTCTAATCAACCAGAGAAAGTAGGAAGTGGAGCTGTGGCTCAAGAGGCAGAGCCTCAGCCTTGAGGGAAAGAGCCAAGTAAGAGTGTGAGACTCTGAGGTCAAGCCCCAGTACCAACCATACACAAAACAAACAAGCTATCATTAAAAATAATAAAACAGCATTTAATTTTATCTCTCAGAAGTCCTTCTGTACTGTTTTCAAAGTCTACTGTTTTTTTTTTGTCGGTCGTGGGGCTTGAACTCTGGGCCTGGGCGCTGTCCCTCAGCTCTTCAGCTCAAGGCGAGCGCTCTACCACTTAAGCTACAGCGCCACTTCCGGTTTTCTGGTGGTTTATTGGAGACAGAAGTCTCACGGTCTCTCCTGCCCAGGCTGGCTTTGAACCGCGATCCTCAGATCTCAGCCTCCTGAGTAGCTAGGATTACAGGCGTGAGCCACCAGCGCCCGGCTTCAAAGTCTACTTTTTATACTTTCATTAAAAACTTTTAGGATTAACGGCAAAAGTTGACAAACCAAAGACAATTTTGAAAGTACATTTTTACAAATGGAACTGAAGACACAGAGATTTAAAACAACAGTACTGTAAAAAGCTACAATTTTTTTCTTCCATTCTTCTTGCCCAGCCAAAAGCTACTAGACAGGAGTAAAACAGACATAGTGCCATTTACATTAATGGAAACAAGTTGATTTGGTAAGATTCTATTTTATACTAAAATTCTCTGAAAATAGAAATTTCTCATGTTACTTCCAACCAACGAAGTTTGATTTCATTTTACACCTCTGTCCTCTTATACGGAACTTTGGTGAGCCCAAAGAACACCAATCTTACCATGTATATAGGTTATAACTGTTGATCCCTGCTACTTGGGAGACTAAGTGAGGACCACTGGAGACTAGGATTTTGAGGCTAGCCTAGGTAGCATAACAAGACCTCTTCTCTTTCGTGTGTGTGGGGTCTGGAGTGGGGGACATAGCTTGAACTCAGTGCCTGGGTACTGTCAAGGCTAGAGCTCTACTTCTGAAAAAAAAAATTTTTTTTTAGCTTACTGGAGATAAGAGTCTGTGGGACTTTCCTTCCCTTGCTGACTTCAAACCACAATCCTCAATTCTCAGCCTCCTGAGCAGCTAGGATTACAGGCACGCAACACCAGTGCCTGGCAAGATATCTTTTCTTAATATTAAAACAACAACAAAACTAAAAGCCCCATAATCTATTTGTAAAAGAGAATTTTTAAAAGGCCTGGTTCTATGCCTTCAATTTCAAAGGCATATACTTATAAGCTGTTTACACTGCTAAGAATATAAAGAAAGATGTTCCTTTCTGCCTACTATGTCACATTATTTAAAATAATCTTCTAGAAAATTTAACCTTCTCCACCCAAGATTTGTATAGGCTCCATCTCCATGTGACTGCTGAATAAATTCAACCAGTATCTGGATCAAAATCTTACAGGGAGCCTGGAAATAAATATCAAAGATTCTTTTGAGTATCATTCCAGAGATGCAGTATTTCATATATAAACCACTGAGAACATCATGTAGGTTGAGAAATTTGCTGAAGGTAAGACTCAATCTCCAGCAGTTTGATTCCATATTGACTAAACTACAAATAATGATACACAGCTGACCATGTTTGATGAAAAATAGGTATCTTTTATCATCAGCACAATGCTCACACTCATATTCTAGGACTGAAACAAAAGAGACACAGATATCATCTTGCTAACTAGTGACTCCAGGGCAAAAACAGAATTGTCAGTTCTAAGATGGAAGGTTGTTCTAGTCTGTATTAAAT